CACTATTCAGAGGAAACATTAAGAACAGTCCCACTTCGTCACATCTCTCCCCCCTTCGAGATCGAACTGAGCGGGGTCACTTTAGCCGGTGACCTGGGGAAGTTCGAAGCCACCAACATTCCCATGGATGCCCCAGCATCTCTCCCATTCCTTGGTAGGAGTTACACCAGGCCCTTCCAGTTTCACGCCCTCCCTTAGGTCAGGGGTGGTCGATAGCACTTGCAGGCCGCATGTGGGAAGGTTTATGCAGCCCATGCCCTTTGGCCACCCCAAGAATGTCTCCCCATTGACCATCACCTTCTGCTCCCACTGGAGGTCCGGGGGGCCTGGCCCCAGGAAACTCCACACAGACATATAGGTTGGGGTCAGGAGTGGGAGCCTGTCCACATCCGCAACCATCTGGCTGACGGAGTCTAAGGCCTTGGGACCCAGCAAGGGAGCTAGACACCGGGGCTTTTCCGCAGGGTCCCCTTGGTTCAAATCGCCAGCCTGCTCAAAGGCAGTGAGGTGGGCATCCAAACCCCCCCCCCCTTAACCAGGGGCAGCAATTTAGTCTCGAGGTTCCCTGCGGAACTGGCCCCCGGGGTCTATCCCCACTCACCCCTGAGGGGTCCCCTAGGCCTCTCCGCTCCCCCACCGCCAGTTCATGCTGCTGCTGCTTCTGCAGCTCTTTCTCGGGCTCTCGCTGTCTCTCACAGTCCTCTTGCTCTCTCAGACTCAGCTCCAATCCCGTCCGTCTCGATCCCCCGATGGGGAACCCGATCGTGAAGACCCTCGTCTGGTCGGGGACAGGAGTCTTGGCGATGCCTGGCTCCCGCTTCAGCTGCTCCCAGATCCTGCTATAGCCCCAGTTGGGGTCAGGAATCTGTTCCTTAGAGCGGTCATCCTCCTCCAGCTGCACGATTAACTCTGCTTTGGTGCACTTTCCAACGCTCAACCCTCTCTTTTTGCACAGGGTGACAATGTCCTTCTTAAGGAGACGGTGACAGGCCATCACTCCGCTCCTCCCAAGTTGTTGTGGACTCACAGGCCCGTGTGTTCTCAGCTCCCCACGGTTTCCAGGGAGAACCCCTAGTGTGCCAGCCCTTCTCGAGGTCACCACCTCTTTGCCAGGGTCGAGCTGCAGACTCCTCCGCCCCTTGGACTGCTTGCTGCAATCCCCAGGGGAACCCTGCTACTGCACAGTCCTTCTCGCTGGTCACACACTCCCAGGGGTTAACCGCCCCCGAAACCGCTCCTCTCTGAGCCTTCAGCAGGCCTAGTCCTCGGCAATCCCCCTTCGTGTTACTGCTCCCCAGTCACTTACTGCAGGAAGCGCCATCCACGGGGTGCAGTACATCCCACCGCTGCCACCAGTTGTCACGGAGTCCCTGGGCGATGCTCTGGAACTGCTCCCCATGAAGCCAGTCAGGACTCTGGGGCAGTCGCCTTCCTGTGAGCAGCCTGTCTGCAGGACACACAGCTCACACAGCTTCCACCTTCCTGGGTCTGACCTCGGAGCATTCAGCATCCTCTGCCCCTCCGTGCGCTTCCCACAGCGAGTCCGCTCAGGCGGGGCTCCTGGGGAAGCCAGAGGGTCCTGCACCCCAACTTCGCAGTCAGACGTGACTCTCAGCCAGCCAGTAAAACAGAAGGTTTATTAGACGACAGGAACATGGTCTAACACAGAGCTTGCAGGTGCAGAGAACGGGACCCCTCAGCTGGGTCCATTTTGGGGGGTAGTGAGCCAGACAACCACGTCTGCACTTCACTCCATGTCCCAGCCAGCCCCAAACTGACACTCCCTCCAGCCCCTCCTCCTCTGGGCTTTGTTCCTTTCCCGGGCCAGGTGGTCACCTGATTCCTTTGTTCTCCAACCCTTCAGCTCTCACCTTGCAGGGGGGAAGGGCCCCGGCCATCAGGTGCCAGGAAACAGGGTGTCGGCCATTCTCTGTGTCCAGACCCCTTCACACACATGCCCTCTAGGGCTCTGCAATGATCATACACCCTTACTCCACCCCCTAGATACTTAAGAACTGCCTGGGGGAAACTGAGGCACCCCCACACTATTCAGAGGAAACATTAAGAACAGTCCCACTTCGTCACAGCGTGCCACGGGCTCTGTCCCCCCCTTCCTTCCTCCTCCCCCCCGTGCCACGGGCTCTGTGTCCCCCCCTTCCTTCCTCCTCCCCCCCACATGCCACGGGCTCTGTGTCCCCCCTTCCTTCCTCCTTCCCCCCCGCGTGCCACGGGCTCTGTGTCCCCCCCCTTCCTTCCTCCTCCCCCCGCGTGCCACGGGCTCTGTGTCCCCCCCTTCCTTCCTCCCTCCCCCCCGCGTGCCACGGGCTCTGTGTCCCCCCCTTCCTTCCTCCCTCCCCCCGCGTGCCACGGGCTCTGTGTCCCCTCCTTCCTCCTTCCCCCCCGCGTGCCACGGGCTCTGTGTCCCCCCCCTTCCTTCCTTCCTCCCTCCCCCCCATGTGCCACGGGCTCTGTGTCCCCCCCCCCTTCCTTCCTCCCTCCCCCCCACGTGCCATGGGCTCTGTGTCCCCCCCCCTTCCTTCCACCCTCCCCCCCGCGTGCCATGGGCTCTGTGTCCCCCCTTCCTTCCTTCCTCCTTCCCCCCGCGTGCCACAGGCTCTGTGTCCCCCCCTTCCTTCCTCCTTCCCCCCCCGCGTGCCACGGGCTCTGTCCCCCCTTCCTTCCTCCTCCCCCCGCGTGCCACGGGCTCTGTGTCCCCCCTTCCTTCCTCCCTCCCCCCGTGCTCTGTGTCCCCCCTTCCTTCCTTCCTCCCCCCCCCACGTGCCACGGGCTCTGTGTCCCCCCCTTCCTTCCTCCTCCCCCCCACGTGCTGCGGGCTCTGTGCCCCATCTTCCTTCCTCCTGCCCCCCCCATGCCCTGGGCTCTGTGCCCCCCCTTCCTTCCTCCCCACTGCGTGCCATGGGCTCTGTGTCCCCCACTTCCTCCTCCCCCCCCCCACGTGCCACGGGCTCTGTGTCCCCCCTTCCTTCCTTCCTCCTCCCCCACGTGCTGCGGGCTCTGTGCCCCATCTTCCTTCCTCCTGCCCCCCCATGCCCTGGGCTCTGTGTCCCCCCTTCCTTCCTCCCCACTGCGTGTCATGGGCTCTGTGTCCCCCACTTCCTCTCCCCCTCCCACGCCACAGCCTCTGTGTCCCTCCTTCCTTCCCCCCCCCGGTGCTGTGGGCTCTGTACCTCCCCTTCCCCCACCGTTTGTATTGGTCTCTCTGGGAGAGACGTTTTTTTGGGTGCCAGCCTGTTACCTCTCTTGGGGCCGGGCAGGGTGGGCTGGGGGCACTAGTGGCTGCCCTCAGCCAGGGCTGTGATCTGGAGACCACTGCAGCAGTGCTGGAAACCGTGTCTGTGCCCGGGGGGTGCCAGGTGTGACGGGACAGGCATGCGGAGAGGTGCCATCAGGGCGAGCGTGGGCTCTCCCGAGCTCGGCCGGCCAGCCAGGCCGGGGGTGGGCGCGGGGAGGGCTCATACACCAGCTGAGAGAATACGGCTCCTTCCTGATCTTGTGCTTTCAAGTCTGTGACCCTGCGGTGGGGGGTCCTCCCAAGCCTGCCCTGAAGGGCCCAGCCGGCCAGTGGGGCTGTGGGGAATGACGACAGGGAAGCCTTACCTGGAAGAAGACGCTGCCTATGGAGCAGGCCGTGGGGAAAGGCTGCAGTGGCTCCCTGGGTGGAGGGGGGGCTTGGAGGTGGCAGAGACATGTAGGCTGGGAGGGCGAGTGCCAGGGTAGGAAAGGGCTCAGGGAAATGCAGCAAGCTCTGGGGTGGAACAGGCCTGGGCTGCAGACGGGAGGGTCCCTGAGCTGGAACCGAGAGTAAAGGGCGGGCCCAGCCCCTGGGGACGTGGCACCGGCGGGGCAGTGAACAGGAAGACTGCTTGAGCCTGTTCATGAGAAGAGATTTTCCTGCCCCCAGAAGGGGAAACCCCGAGTGTGACCTAGCTGGAGGCTGTGTCCTGAGGCCGTGGCGGCTCCTGGGGCGAGAGGGGCTGCAGACAAGGGTAGAGGGACAGTGAAGGGGCATCGACCTCACGAGCCAGGTCCCAGCGTGGCCAGGAGGAGGCGCCAGCTGGCGGTGAGTGACGCCCCCATCAGAGCCCAGAGGAGCAGGTTTTCTCCCAGACGGGAGGGGGACGGTGGCTGGCTCCCTGTCTACAGCAAAGTTATGCCAGAGTGCGCCCAAAGCCAGTGGGTGCCCCCTTTCCAGCCGCGTGCCGAGGAAGGGGCGACCAGCGGGAGCTCACCCTGCATGTGGGACAGAACAGTGTGTTTGGGAAGCTGAGACGAGATGGAGTGCAATGGCTGGACAGACGCGAGGGGCCGGAGTGCGTGCGAGCTGAGGAGGAAGGGCTGTTCTGCCAGGGGCCTTGGAGTCTCTGGGGCCTGAGTAGAGGTGCGCCCCAGCTGCTTGCCCAGCCCCTCCTGCTGCTCTGGCAGGCCCTGGCAGAGAGCTGGCCACGGCTGGAAGGGGGAGGACCAGTAAGACCCCAGGCTGTAGCTTGCAAAGTTCAGTCCGAGCCCCTCGGAAGCGTGTGACTCCGATTTGCTTGTAGCTGGTTTGTCTTTATCCCTGGTACTTGAATTCCCCTAAAATCCTCAGTGTTCATAAACGGGTTCCCGGCGCGGGGCTGGCTGGGAACGGGCGGGATCGGGAACTTGGGGAGCCGGGCTTTTGTCTTTGCGCAGGAGCAACAAATCGAAGAGTTTTCTGTGCCCCAGGAGAGGGCTGGGCACGTCGAGGCAGACGGCTTGGGCGGGCCTGCAGGGCATTGGGGTCGCTTCGCTGGGGGAGACCAGCATGGGGCTGGGGAGTAACAAGCAGCTGGAGTCGGAGTGGCTGAGCTGGGGCACGCTCGTACGCTGGCTGGATGCGTCCGGATGGGGCACCGGGTTACAGGACACGTGGGGGCCCGACCTCTCCCTGGTCTGGGTGGAGTGCAGGGGCTCCCTGGGGTGCAGGGGCCTTGTCCTGACTGTTGGTGTCCCCTGGGCAGGACCGGTGCCTTGGGAGCCGCCCCGGAGCTCGGCGCACATGCATGCCTGCCAGTGCCCAGAAGATGACCAGGCTGCTCCTGGGGGTGACCCTGGAGAGGATCTGCAAGGCAGTGTTGCTGCTATGCCTGCTGCACTTCGTCATCATCGTGATTCTCTACTTCGACGTCTACGCCCAGCACCTGGACTTCTTCAGCCACTTCAGTGGCAGGAACGTCTCCCGGGCCCAGCCCTCCTCGAGCACCTCCCGGCCCAACAGCACCGCCCCCAGCTGTGGGCCGGCCGGCGCTGACCCAGCCCCCAGCGCCAACCACTCTGGCACCGAGAAGCCCTTACTGCCCTGCCAGGAGGTGCCGCCTGGCTTAGGTGAGCCGCTGGGGCAAGGGAGCTGGCTGGGCCGGGGTGGGGGGCTGGGCTGGGCTGGAGCAGGGCTGGACTGGGCTGGGGGAGAGTGGGCAGCTGGCTGGGGCGGGGAGGGTGGGGAGCTGGCTGGGGTGGGGGGCTGGCTGGCTGGGGCAGGGCGGAGCAGGGAGCTGGCTGGGGCGGGGGGCTGGCTGGCCGGGGCAGGGCGAAGGTGGGAGCTGGAAGGGGCGAGGCTGGGCTGGGTTGGGGTGGGGCTGGGCTGGCTGGGCCGGGGGAGGGCGGGTTGCGGCAGGGCTGGGTTGGGGGAGGGTGGGGAGCTGGATGGGGCGAGGCTGGGCTGGCTGGGGTGGGGCAGGGTGGGGAGCTGGAAGGAGCATGGCTGGGCGGGGCAGGGCTGGGCTGGGTTGGGTTGGGGGAGGGTGGGGAGCTGGGCTGGGCTGGCTGGGGTGGGGCACGGCACGGCAGGGTTGGGCTGGCTGGGACGGGGCTGGGCTGGGCCGGCTAGGTATGCCCATGTGTGGCCGATGCTGGCCTGGCCCTGTGGGGTTGAGACTGACTCTTCCAGAGCTGCTAGCTGCCTCCTTTCGCTGCCCTATGGCCGTGAGGGTGGGAGTGTGACGAAGCGGGACTGTTCTTAATGTTTCCTCTGAATAGTGTGGGGGTGCCTCAGTTTCCCCTAGGCAGTTCTTAAGTCTCTAGGTGGTGGGGTAAGGGTGTATGATCATTGCAGAGCCCGAGAGGGCAGGTGTGTGCAGGGGTCTGGACACAGACAATGGCTGACACCCTGTTTCCTGGCACCTGATGGCCTGGGCCCTTCCCCCCTGCAAGGTGAGAGCTAAAGGGTTGGAGAACAAAGGAATCAGGTGACCTCCTGGCCCCGGAAAGGAACAAAGCCCAGAGGAGGAGGGGCTGGAGGGAGTTTCAGGTGGGGGCTGGCTGGGACATGGAGTGAAGTGCAGAAGGGGTTGTCTGGCTCACTGCCCCCCCAAAATGGACCCAGCTGAGGGGTCCTGTTCTCTGCACCTGCAAGCTCTGTGTTAGGCCATGTTCCTGTCGTCTAATAAACCTTCTGTTTTACTGGCTGGCTGAGAGTCACGTCTGACTGCGGAGTTGGGGTGCAGGACCCTCTGGCTTCCCCAGGAGCCCCGCCTGAGCGGACTCGCTGTGGGAAGCGCACGGAGGGGCAGAGGAGGCTGAATGCTCCCAGGTCAGACCCAGGAAGGTGGAAGCTGTGTGTCCCAAAGACAGTCTGCTCACAGAAAGGAGACTTTCCCAGAGTCCTGCCTGGCTTCATGGGGAGCAGTTCCAGAGCATTGCCCGGGGACTCGGTGACAGGGTGACTGCCCTGCATAGCATTGGGAGTGGCCTGCGGGCCGCCTGGGATCTGGCTTCCTAGCCATTCCCAGTCCCTGGCCGTGCCCCCAGCCAGCAGGGGCTCACAGCCGTGGCCCTATGGGCACGTCAGATTCCCTCGTGCCCCGCTCCGGGGTCAGCACCATGAGACCAGCCCCTGGGCTGGGCAGGAGGTCGCCTGCCAGGGCCAAGCGGAGCAGGCCTGAAGCCAGCTAGGATACAGAGCCCTGCCTGTACCATGGCTCCCCCCTGCAGTGCCCAGCACTGAGCTCCCTGCCCGGTGTGCCCATCCTGCCACAGGCCCCATCGGGGTGAGGGCACCACCAGCTGCAAGCCTGAGGTGTGTTGTGGGGCTCATTGCGCCCTGGCAGCTCAGCGAGCATTGGCAGTCCCTGGGAGCACCAGCCAGGCTCACTGGCGCATGCTGGAGGCTAACCCTGCTGGCGCGTGGTCAGGCTGGGCCTTTTCCGGCTGGGCCCCGGCTGGCCCCACGTCTCCCCTCGGGGCTCGCCCTGTGAAATAGCCATGGACATGGGGAGCACCGCGGAGGTCGGAGTCCTGGCAGGTGACTGTCTCCTCAGCCCGCACCGCTACCTCCGTCCAGCCCCGCTGCACGGCGGGGTTGGGGCAGGTCTGCAAAGGTTTGACGCCAGGTCCCTTCTCCCAGCACCTTGGCACTGACCGCTCGTTAGCGGGGCTGCCAATGGGCTTGTGGGGGGTGGGGCATTGCTGCACTGACTTGGGAGCAGCCCTGCACCCCAGGGTAGGGAGAGGGAGCCTGGCCCGGGGGGGTCCCTGGGCACACCTGATTCACCTGGGCATTGGGGCTGGGGGTTTGCATTCCTGATGCCAGTGGGTTCACCGTTGCCCCGTCGGAAGGGATTGCACCCGATTCCTCGGGCACTGCCAGTCCCGGGTGGGGAGCCCAGGGCGGGGGCTGTGGGTCGGGACTGAGGGCACTGGCAGAGCTGTCACAGCACCCCCTCTTGCCAGTGCGCCCTGCCTGCTGGCCCAGGGGCTGCGCGTGGGGCACCTGGTAACCGGCTCCCCCAATTCCCTGCAGTTGGCCGGCTCCTCATCGAGTTCAGCTCGCCCATGAGCATGGAGCGGGTGCAGCGGGAGAACCCAGGCGTGAGGGAGGGTGGCAAGTACGTGCCCCCAGACTGCCAGCCCCGCCAGAAGGTCGCCATCCTCATCCCCTTCCGCCACCGGGAGCACCATCTGCCCTACTGGCTGCATTACCTGCATCCCATCCTGCGCCGGCAGAAGGTTGCCTACGGCATCTACATCATCAACCAGGTGGGGGGCCTGGGGGCAGGGCAACAGCCCCTCCCCCAGATCTCAGGGGCCCGGCTCAGGGTTCTCCCATTCCCAGCGGGAGGCTGGGCCCCGGCAGAACTCACCCCCCGAGGAGGGCCCTGCAGTCTGGCCTGTGCATGACCGTGCCTGTGGTTACGGTGGCTCCAGCCAAGCAGGGCGAGCCGGGGACACGAGGCTGCTGCCCAGAAGAGACTGGGCAGGGCCCGCGGGCTGGGCGGGCGGCAGAGGGCCCTTTTATCACTACTCACTCAGCGCCTCCCTCCAGGAAGGGCCCTTCGAGCGCCTCTCCCTGGCGGGACAGCCCAGTGCGGGGGTGCTGGGCTGCTGGGGCTGGCAGGGCACGCAGGAACGGGGCAGCATAGTGGGGTGCTCGGGGGCTGGGGGGTGGGGCTGTTCGTACAGCTGGGCGACGCGTCTGAGTGCGTAGGGCAGGAGTGCCGGGGGGGGCAGGCGGCTGGCGCTGGCCTGGTAGCCCCCCCCAACGCTTGTCCCCTCACCCCTGCGCAGTACGGTGAGGACACCTTCAACCGGGCCAAGCTGCTCAACGTGGGCTTCCTGGAGGCCCTGAAGGACGAGGACGACTACGACTGCTTCGTCTTCAGCGACGTGGACCTGGTCCCCATGGACGACCGCAACTTGTACCGCTGCTATGAGCAGCCGCGGCACTTTCGCCATCGCCATGGACAAGTTCAGCTTCAGGTGAGTGCCGGGGGGGCCGCGGATGGAGCCGGCAGGGGTTGGACCCCAGGCACCTGCCGTGGCGCGAGCCAGCCCTGGCCCCGTGTGCAGGGCCCCGCTCGGCAGGCAAGGAGGTGGCTCTCTGGGAGGGGGGTTAAGTGGGAGGGGTGGCGCATAGCCTGGGACTGCGGGGAGCATGGGGGCAGAGGGGTGGGAGTGGGTGGCGGAGGTGCCGTGCTGGGCATCGCAGAGGGGCAAGGGGTGCCACTTGGCAGAGAAGCGGGCCATGGGGGGAGAGGGAGACGGGGGCTGGTGGGCTGGCAGCAGCTTTCCTTGCAGGCTCTCGGTCTCTGGGAGCCTGGCCCCCTTCCTGAGCCAGAGCAGAGCCCAGACAGCGCCCGGGGGGCAGAGAGCACTGCCCCCGGCTCTCCCTTGGCCTGCCCGCGCTGACGCGGCTGCTGCTTGTCCCTGCAGGCTGCCGTACGCTGGCTACTTCGGGGGCGTCTCAGGCCTGAGCAGGTCCCAGTTCCTGAAGATCAACGGCTTCCCCAATGAGTACTGGGGCTGGGGAGGCGAGGATGACGACATCTTTAACCGGTGGGTGACCCCCCGGTGCTGCGTGCCAGGTCCCTTGGTGAGCTCCCCTCAGTGCCGTTGTGCCAGCCCAGAGCCCAGCCCTCCACTGCGGCTGGAGGGCCCGGAGCCCAACCGTGAGGCCCTGAAACAGACACCTGCCCCTCAAAGCACCTCCCGTGGGTCAGGCTCCCAGGCAGCCCCACCCACGGATGTCACAGGCGCTCTGCCCCCCTGCAGCCGGACTCGGGATGGACACGGCTGGCTGGGGGCGTGTATAGGTCTGGCCAGGAACGCAGCTGCTTTGGATTGGGGCCCCATGGAGTGGGCTGGGCAGGGCGAGGGCTCCTGGGTCCTGCCCGCCATTCGGCTTGCCGCTTGCTGCCTCCCCTGGCAGGGCCTGTGTGCTGCACCTGTGCCAGGCAGCGGGGTGGAGCGCTCAGCTCCGGGGCGCGGAGGGGAGACGCCATCTCTGCAGTCTCGTCCGTCCCACTGCCGGGGAGAGGAGCCAGCCGTGCAGCCAGCCCAGTGTGCCCGGCCCGGCGAGCCCCGCTGAGCTGCCTGGCATTTCACATGTCCTCCGTGGTGCAGCATGGCTGCGTCACGTTGCTGTGCCCTGCCTTACGTTGGGAGGGGCTGGTCAGGCCCAGCTGGGCATGTCCTGTTGGCATCTGTGGTGGGCCCGGTGCAGGATCTGCCCCCGAGCTGCTCTTGCTGCCCTGGCGCTTTCCCGGCTCTTGCGGGACTTGTCGCCTCGGTGGCCACGTAGATGCTGTCGAGGTGGAGATGTGGCTTAGTGCTGCCACAGGGCCAAGCCAACGCGTGGTAGTGGGCCCAAGACACAGCTGGGATGGGGGCACGTGGGGAGAGGGGCTGTGTCAGTGTGTTGCACCAGGCTGGGCGTGGAGCAGGGCAGCGCCTGGCCTGGGGAGACGGAGAAGCTGCCACTGAGGGATCAGGGAGTGCTTGCGAAGTGGTGGGGGCTGGGTGAGTCTCATTCCCTAGGCAGCAGCTCCCTGCAGTGGCTGGCTCCAGGTGGCTTAGACTCGTGCCCGGAGGCCACTCAGCAGCAGGGTGGGTTAATTGAAATCCTCGGGTTCAGTCGTGGTTTGCATTGGTCCATTTGAGTTCTTTGTCCATTGGTGGGGGACCAGCACCGACTACGTGGCTTTGTAACCCCAGAGAGCCTCCCGCTCAGCCCGGGGCTGCTGTCTGCAGCTGGCCTGGGGCTGATGTTAGCAATTCCCTCGCTTAGCATGCATGTACGTGTCCCTTGGTCCCCGTGCCCTGGGTTAGAACATGGGGAGGGACACGGCTCTGGTTTGCTCAGTGGTGACGTTTTACTCCTGGCTGGGCTCAAACTGGATTTGGATGGAAATTGGAGGTCAGTTAAAATGCACAAAACCCAAACCTTGAAACCCACCCTGGTGGCTGGAGATCCCAGAAGAAAGAAGCCCTCAGACTGTGTTTGGTATTGACGGGGCTGTGTTAAAGCAATGGCGGGTGGGCTGTAGTTACTGAGTTGAGATTGTTTATGCTGCCCAGGCCCCAAAGGGATTTAGGAGCCTAAAGATGCAGCTAGGTGGCTAGTGGGACTTTGGAAGCAGGGTTAGGTGAGGTGCCCAACTCCCACGAAATCCAGCTCAGGAGCTCTTGAAATCCCCCCCTTGCCCCCTGGCTTCCTCTTTAGATGCCTGCCCACCTTCGACCATCTGGCCGCAGCCTTTGTGTGGGAGTTGGGAGTTCTCCTCCTCTCCCACCTGGTTTGCAAGGGGAAACCAGCTGACCTGATTCCTCACCTCCTGGTGGGTTCCTCGATCTGGAATGAACTAGTCCAAAGGGAGGGAGGGGTCCGATGCACCTGCCAGACAACCTGGCACCTAAAGGCCTAATGGCAATGGCTTTTTGGCAGGGATGGCGCTGACCCGGCCAAGCGGGACTGGCAGCGTTGTCTCCGTCGTGGAGGGGGAAGCCCTGGGTCTGGCTAGTTCAGGCAGTTCCTGGTGCAGTTCCGAAGCTGGAGCTGACCTCGGAAGCTGAGAGGTTTCCCCGTTTGTGTAAATTATGTAAGGAGCCGGGCCTTGAACTCCCCAGTGCGCGGAGGGCTCCGTGTGCAGCCACTTTTTAGTATTTATTTCAACGTTAACGGGTTGCGGGGAGCGTTGGCTGCGGCGCGGGCGGGTGGGAGCGTTGGCTGCGGTGCACAGCTTGACTTGATTTCATAGTTCGTGTCAGTCAGGATGATCACAAAGAAACGTATTTCAAAGCCCCTGGATTTGCCCTCGCCCCGCTCAGCAATGCGGTCCTGCTCCAGGGCCCTGGTTGTGACTGCCCCCTGCTGGCGTCCCAGTGGTGGTGCAGGTGGGGCCTGTGGGCATGGCGGTCTCCCTGAGCAGCCAGCAGCATCTGGCCTTGCGCTGCCTTGGCCCTGCCCTTGCTCCGCTCCCCAGTCACGCTCGGAGCGGCAGGAGCCCTGGTGCCAGCTGGGCCCTGTGGGAGCGGGCAGAGGGGAGGGGCACAGACCTGGTGGAGGTGCGGAGGGGCTCAGGCCAGTCGCTACAGACTCGGGGGGCATAGGGGTCCAATCCCTTTGCTGCTTGTAGTGACGGCAGAGGGCCGGGCCCACCGGGGCTGGGGCCAGATCCCAGCTGGCCCAAACTGTGTGCCCCTCTTGCCAGCTCGGCTCACTCTGTCCCCAGGATCTCTCTGAACGGCATGAAGGTGTCGCGCCCCGACGCCCGCATCGGGAGGTACCGCATGATCAAACATGAGCGTGACAAACACAACGAGCCCAACCCACAGAGGTGAGACCCCGGGCCCGGCCTGCCCCGCGCCCCCCAGCTGGTCACCGCCTCCAACGCCCCGTGTGTTGCCTTGGCTCCGTGGCTTGGCACTGCCTGTGGGAAGCCTGCCTAGGAAAGCTCCCCCCACACCATCCAAGAGCCCTCTCCAGGCCGTGGGGTCATTCAGGCCCAGACCCCACCCCGCCCCCAGCTGAGGCTGCTGGAGAGGGACCCGGGGGAGCCGGCTCTGCCTCCAGATGGGCACCTCAGCAGGCAGCAGAGGGTGGGGACAGCCGCAGAGTAAACGCTGGGGTGTGGTGCTGGGAGCCAGGATGCCTGGGTTCTCTTCCCTTCTCTGCCACTGACTCACTGTGTGGCCTTGGAGAGGTACCCCCGCCCCTTTCTCTGTGCCTCAGTTTCCCCCACCCCCGGGTGAACCTGCTCCTTTGCACCCCTGGTGCTCTCTGGCTGGGTGAGAGGGAAGCCCTGCTGTGCAGCACTGGGCGCCTCACCCTGGGCTGGCATTGCCAGGCAGGGACCACAGCCCCAGTGGCCACCCAGGACTGTGCCCTCTGGCGCTACTGCTGGCCAGGGGAGAGCTCAGCGTGCCACTCACACCTCTCCGCACCTCTGGCAGGTTCACCAAGATCCAGAACACCAAGGTGACGATGAAGCGGGACGGCATCAGTTCCCTGCAGTACCAGCTGGTGGAGGTGACGCGCCGGCCCATGTACACGAACATCACGGTGGACATCGGCAAGCCGCCCCCACGCCCAGCCCGGGGCTAGCACCTTCCCCCAGCCCACGGGAGCTGGCCGTGCCCTGGCAGGGGAGGCTCTGTGCCCTGGGCTGGCTGGATGCGGAGCCGCCTTGCCCTGGCCCAGGGGTGCGGATCGAACCAGGACGTGTTCGGCCCACTCTGTCTGCCTTCTGGGTGTGGCTGCGTGCCAGAATCCCCCCTCACAGCGCGGTGGTTAGCCCTGCCCCGCGGGCCGGGGACAATGCAGCAGCCCCCCACTATCCAAAACGGCCCCAGCCAGGGGCCTGTGAGAGCTTCAGGCTCTGGCTAACAAACCCCAGCCCTTGACGAGGAGATCCAAGCACTGAACTCCGTCTGCAGCTTCCTCGGGACAGGGCATGCTCTGCGCTGTGGTCCTGGCTGGGCGTGTCACCCGCAGGGTCCATCGCTGCCCCAACCGGCTCAGTCTGGGCCGGCGGCAGAAGGGGCTCTGTGCCTTGCGTGTTCAGCTCTAGCTGGGCCAGGGCTCGTTTCTGTGGGTGCTCGCAGGGCTCCTGTGGGGCAGTGTGACTGGGAGAGGGGCCAGTGCCCTCCGCCTGGCCCCGTCAGGCTCCCTGCCACCTGCTCCCCCTCCTGCCCTGCCCTGTGGATGCCTTGCTCCCAGCGGGGCACAGGGCTCTGAGCACAGACGCAGCCCCTCTCGCTGTCTTCCTCAGCTGTGTCAGGCCAGGACACCTGGGTCCTAATCTCAGCTCTGCCCCAGGGGCAGGCCTTGGGCAAGTTTTGTGCCTCAGTTTCCCCCATACCAGGGGCTCATGGGCTGGCTCCTCCCGCACGCTGTGGCTGTGTGTGTGGGTGTACTGTATCCTTGAGAGACTTCAAAGGGACTATTCCCATCCTGGCCCTGCCGATGGGCTACGCTGAGGGTGTCACAAAGCAGGGGAGCCCTTGTCTGCCCCGCTCACTCCCTACAACCCCACTGTGCGGATGCTCCACTTAGCAGGGGAAGGTGTCTCGCAGCCTGGGGAGGTGGGTCACACCCAAAGGGCTGCTTCTGGAAGGAAGGTTGGCGGCTCTGTGGATATCCCCAGCTGTGGGCGGGGGCGCAATGCAAGCCTGGACCCAGCCCCTCGCCCGCTGTCCCCTGGTGCTTCCTGCCAGGCAGCCCTGCGCCTCCCCCGCCCGCCGACTCTAGCTGTGCCTGGTGCTGCACCCACCCAAGGGCCCTTTTCCAACACAGAACATTGCAGCCCAGCTCTTCTCTAGGGCCGGGCCCTCAGCAGGGGGCGGACACAATCTCCAGAACTAGTTTGCCTGGTGCTCTAGGAAGGGGAGGGCTCCTTGGTGGGAATGGGCACTGCTGGCCCTGGGGGGCAGGAGCTGGTGGGGCAGAGCCTGGGGGTTCCCTCCCTCTCTCCAGCCCAGGGCCATTGCACCGGCATGGAGCTCTGTCCACCCCCGCAAGACATGGCCCCATCCCTCGCTGCCTGTCCTGCCTGGGCCCCAAGCCCCATGCGTGCGAGAACACTGCCAGGGGGCAAGGGACCAGCACCACCTTGACTGCCAGGAAGTGGGGGGCACAGCATCCTGCCACCCCCCCTGTATTGCTGCCCCCCAAGCCCTGCCACATACCACTGCTCCCCCCCACATTCTGAGCCCCAGAGTCATGGCCTGGTCCCAGCCCTATCCTGGAGCGATGAGAGAGAAGCAACCAGTGCCTGGGTGGGGCGACTGCCCCTGCCCCCAGGGGTGATGTTCCCTCCGCACGCTGGGGGGCAGGGAAGGCAGCGGGCAGCACGCCCAGGCCAGGGGCACCGCTGCCTTCTGTCCGTTTGAATGTTTGACCGGTTCTGAGCGTATCCCGAATGCAGCCTTTGGTCCCAGCGACCAGACTTTTGTATTTAATAAAGTTTCAAAAATTCAGAGACTGTAATGTGGAGTCAGGGAAAGGGGACAGAGGCTAGGCCCCGGGCAGAGTAATTATGTCTGTTCTACCCCCCCCCCCCAACCTGGGCCCCCTTTGTGTTGGTTAAAGCCAGGGTGGTGGGGCCAACCCTGCAGCCCCCCCAGCTGCACTCTGGGCTGGGGGACCCTAGCAACTTTCAAATCCGACGGTGGGGCAGGGCCATCTTCTGCCCCCAGGGTCTGTGAGCCAGCCAAGCCCCCCCAACTCCTCAGGCCCGGGGTGGGGGCAGGTCCTGGCAAGAAGAAGCCAGAGGGAGTCGAACCAGAAAGTAGCTTTGTTGCCAGGGGCTCAGGGCTGTCCATGCTGGAGCCGCTTGGACCCCAGGCGGGGGCTGGGTTTCAGTGTCTTCCCAGCAAGGCTGAGGGCGGGAGCTGCACGGCAGAGGGGCGTGGGGGACTCTGGGGTGCCCCCTAAGCACCCTGCTGGTGTGGGCATCCCAGGCCCCACAGGGGCACGGCTCAGGGAGAGGCTGGGAGCCCACCCTGCGGGGTCCGTGGCAGGGATGGGTGGGTTCGCTGCCACTCGGCTCCCAGCCACAAGGCTGGAGGGTGGGTGGGGGGACTCCAGAGGGAGCCTGGCCAGGGCTGAGGGGGCAGGCGATGGAGCTGGGCTGGGGAGGGGGCCCGTGGTGCAGCCTAGCTGGGGGAAGCGGGTGTTAGGGAAGAGCCGTGGGGCCCATGGTCCAGAGGAGCCTAGTGGCATAGCTGGGAAGGGGTCAGTGGTGCAGCTGAGGGTGCTCCGCGACCCAAGGGGAAGGTGGGGGAGGGGTGTCTGTGATTGGGCCAGGTTGAAGAGGGGCTCTGCAGCCCAGCAGGATGTGGAGGGTGGGGGCTCTGCGGCCCAGTGGGACATGGGGGAGGGGGTGTTACGGGGGGGAAGGGGGCTCTGCGGCCCAGTGGGAGGAAGGGGAGGGGTGTTAGGGGGGAGGGGGCTCTGGGGCCCAGCGGGAGGGGAGGGGTGTTGCGGGGGGGAGGGGGCTCTGCGGCCCAGCGGGAGGAAGGGGAGGGGTGTTGCAGGGGGAGGGGGCTCTGCGGCCCAGCGGGAGTGGGGAGAGGGGTGTTAGGGGGGGGAGGGGGCTCTGGGGCCCAGCGGGAGGGGGGGAGGGGTATTGCGGGGGGAGGGGGCTCTGCGGCCCAGCGGGAGGAAGGGGAGGGGTGTTAGGGGGGGGAGGGGCTCTGGGGCCCAGCGGGAGGAAGGGGGAGGGGTGTTGCGGGGGGAGGGGGCTCTGGGGCCCAGCGGGAGGAAGGGGAGGGGTGTTAGGGGGGAGGGGGCTCTGGGGCCCAGCGGGAGGAAGGGGAGGGGGTGTTAGGGGGGGAGGGGGCTCTGGGGCCCAGCGGGAGGAAGGGGAGGGGTGTTAGGGGGGGAGGGGGCTCTGGGGGCCCAGCGGGAGGGGGGAGGGGTGTTGCGGGGGGAGGGGGCTCTGGGGGCCCAGCAGGAGGAAGGGGAGGGGTGTTAGGGGGGAGGGGGCTCTGGGGCCCAGCGGGAGGGGGGGAGGGGTGTTGCGGGGGGAGGGGGCTCTGGGGCCCAGCGGGAGTGGGGAGAGGGGTGTTGCGGGGGGAGGGGGCTCTGCGGCCCAGCGGGAGGGGAGGAGGGGGTGTTGCGGGGGAGGGGGCTCTGCGGCCCAGCGGGAGGAAGGGGAGGGGTGTTAGGGGGGGGAGGGGGCTCTGGGGCCCAGCGGGGAGGGGGCTCTGCGGCCCAGCGGGAGGGGGGAGGGGTGTTGCGGGGGAGGGGGCTCTGGGGCCCAGCGGGAGGAAGGGGAGGGGTGTTGCGGGGGGAGGGGGCTCTGGGGCCCAGCGGGAGGGGGGGAGGGGTGTTGCGGGGGAGGGGGCTCTGCAGCCCAGCGGGAGGAAGGGGAGGGGTGTTGCGGGGGAGGGGGCTCTGGGGCCCAGCGGGAGGAAGGGGAGGGGTGTTAGGGGGAGGGGGCTCTGGGGCCAAGCGGGAGGAAGGGGAGGGGTGTTAGGGGGGAGGGGGCTCTGGGGCCCAGCGGGAGGAAGGGGAGGGGTGTTGCGGGGGAGGGGGCTCTGGGGCCCAGCGGGAGGAAGGGGAGGGGTGTTAGGGGGGAGGGGGCTCTGGGGCCAAGCGGGAGGAAGGGGAGGGGTGTTAGGGGGAGGGGGCTCTGGGGCCCAGCGGGAGGAAGGGGAGGGGTGTTGCGGGGGAGGGGGCTCTGGGGCCCAGCGGGAGGAAGGGGAGGGGTGTTAGGGGGAGGGGGCTCTGGGGCCAAGCGGGAGGAAGGGGAGGGGTGTTAGGGGGAGGGGGCTCTGGGGCCCAGCGGGAGGGGGAGGGGTGTTGCGGGGGGAGGGGCTCTGGGGCCCAGCGGGAGGAAGGGGAGGGGTGTTGGGGGGAGGGGGCTCTGGGGCCCAGCGGGGAGGAAGGGGAGGGGGTGTTAGGGGGGGAGGGGGCTCTGGGGCCAAGCGGGGGGGGGAGGGGTGTTGCGGGGGAGGGGCTCTGGGGCCCAGCGGGAGGGGGGAGGGGTGTTGCGGGGGAGGGGGCTCTGGGGCCCAGCGGGAGGAAGGGGAGGGGTGTTGCGGGGGGAGGGGGCTCTGGGGCCCAGCGGGAGGAAGGGGAGGGGGTGTTAGGGGGGGGGAGGGGGCTCTGGGGCCAAGCGGGAGGAAGGGGAGGGGTGTTAGGGGGGAGGGGGCTCTGGGGCCCAGCGGGAGGAAGGGGAGGGGTGTTGCGGGGGAGGGGGCTCTGGGGCCCAGCGGGAGGAAGGGGAGGGGTGTTAGGGGGGGAGGGGGCTCTGGGGCCAAGCGGGAGGAAGGGGAGGGGTGTTAGGGGGGGAGGGGGCTCTGGGGCCCAGCGGGAGGAAGGGGAGGGGTGTTGCGGGGGGAGGGGGCTCTGGGGCCCAGCGGGAGGAAGGGGAGGGGGCTCTGGGGCCCAGCGGGGGGGGGGGAGGGGTGTTGCGGGGGAGGGGGCTCTGGGGCCCAGCGGGAGGGGAGGAGGGGTGTTGCGGGGGAGGGGGCTCTGCGGCCCAGCGGGAGGAAGGGGAGGGGTGTTAGGGGGGAGGGGGCTCTGGGGCCCAGCGGGAGGGGGGGCTCTGCGGCCCAGCGGGAGGGGGGAGAGGGGTGTTGCGGGGGAGGGGGCTCTGGGGCCCAGCAGGAGGAAGGGAAGGGGTGTTAGGGGGGAGGGGGCTCTGGGGCCCAGCGGGAGTGGGGAGAGGGGTGTTGCGGGGGAGGGGGCTCTGCGGCCCAGCGGGAGGGGGGGGGGGGTGTTGCGGGGGAGGGGGCTCTGCGGCCCAGCGGGAGGAAGGGGGAGGGGTGTTGCGGGGGAGGGGGCTCTGGGGCCCAGCGGGAGGAAGGGGAGGGGTGTTAGGGGGGGAGGGGGCTCTGGGGCCCAGCGGGAGGAAGGGGAGGGGTGTTAGGGGGGGGAGGGGCTCTGCGGCCCAGCGGGAGGGGGGGAGGGGTGTTGCGGGGGAGGGGGCTCTGGGGGCCCAGCGGGGAGGGGGGCTCTGGGGCCCAGCGGGAGGAAGGGGAGGGGTGTTGCGGGGGGAGGGGGCTCTGGGGGCCCAGCAGGAGGAAGGGGAGGGGTGTTAGGGGGGGAGGGGGCTCTGGGGCCCAGCGGGAGTGGGGTGAGGGGTGTTGCGGGGGGAGGGGGCTCTGCGGCCCAGCGGGAGGGGGGGAGGGGTGTTGCGGGGGGAGGGGGCTCTGCGGCCCAGCGGGAGGAAGGAGAGGGGTGTTAGGGGGAGGGGGCTCTGGGGCTCAGCGGGAGGAAGGGGAGGGGTGTTGGGGGGAGGGGGCTCTGGGGCCCAGCGGGAGGGGGGGAGGGGTGTTGCGGGGGAGGGGGCTCTGGGGCCCAGCGGGAGGAAGGGGAGGGGTGTTAGGGGGGAGGGGGCTCTGGGGCCCAGCGGGAGGGGGGGAGGGGTGTTGCGGGGGAGGGGGCTCTGGGGCCCAGCGGGAGGAAGGGGAGGGGTGTTAGGGGGGAGGGGGCTCTGGGGCCCAGCGGGAGTGGGGAGAGGGGTGTTGCGGGGGGAGGGGGCTCTGCGGCCCAGCGGGAGGGGTGTTGCGGGGGAGGGGGCTCTGCGGCCCAGCGGGAGGAAGGGGAGGGGTGTTAGGGGGGAGGGGGCTCTGGGGCCCAGCGGGAGGGGGGGAGGGGTGTTGCGGGGGAGGGGGCTCTGCGGCCCAGCGGGAGGAAGGGGAGGGGGCTCTGGGGCCCAGCGGGAGGGGGGGAGGGGTGTTAGGGGGGAGGGGGCTCTGCGGCCCAGCGGGAGGGGGGGAGGGGTGTTGCGGGGGGAGGGGGCTCTGCGGCCCAGCGGGAGGAAGGGGAGGGGGCTCTGGGGCCCAGCGGGAGGGGGGAGGGGTGTTAGGGGGGAGGGGGCTCTGCGGCCCAGCGGGAGGAAGGGGAGGGGTGTTGCGGGGGGAGGGGGCTCTGGGGCCCAGCGGGAGTGGGGAGAGGGGTGTTAGGGGGGAGGGGGCTCTGGGGCCCAGCGGGAGGGGGCGAGGGGTGTTGCGGGGGAGGGGGCTCTGCGGCCCAGCGGGGGGCGTGCTCAGGAGTTGTGCCGGTCCAGCGGGGGGCAGTCGCGAAGCCGCTCGCACTGGGCCACCCGGTTGCCCTCCCAGTACCCCGCGTCCTGGCCGTCGTGGCAGCGGCACTGGGTGCAGGGCTCCACCCAGACGGCCTCTCCGGCGGGGATGACGCGCGTCCGGCTCCTGTCCGCGTAGCAGTTGGGACCTGGGGGGTGGGGGGCTCCGGTCAGCAGCGGGCGCGGCCGGGGGGCTCCTGGTCCTGCCAGGCCGCCTGCCACGGGAGACTCCAGCCCGGCCCCCCCAGCCGGGCAGAGCCTGGTGCCCCCATGGGCCCAGAGCAGGGCCCTGTCCAGCCCCACCCCACCCAGGGCCATTCCCCAAACTTCAGGCTTTGCCTTCCCCTCCCCATTACCTGGCCTCCCCTCTCATTCTCCACCCCACAGCTGAGCACCTCTCCCCCCCGTCCAGATCCCCACAACAGCTGCCCCTCTCACTGCCTCTGGGGGTTCTGAAAATGGCCCCGCCCCAGGGCCACCGCACCCCCTGTGCTTTCAGCCTTCCCCCAAACCCTTCCCCATGCTCACCGTCCTGGCATGTGGGGCAGCACCGGCCCTTCTCGTAGACGGCGTTGACGCAGGGCGGGGGGGCGCAGTCGGCCACCAGGCAGCGAGCGATGCCGTCCGGGTCACAGGTGCATTGCTCACACTCCGAGGGCTGGGGGACAACGGGCCGTGGGTCAGAGGTGAGCTGGCCCCAGGGGAGCATCCTCCCCACTCCCTCGCTGGGGGTACAGGGCTGCCCCCCACGGGCTCGGCTCCCAACACCCTCAGTGCCCCTCTTGGCCCCACTCTGAAATCCACCAGCTCTGTTCCCAGCTGGGTGGCCCAGCCGAGTGGGCACAAACCCACATGCACTCTGGGACCCCGATCCCGCCCATGCCATTGCTCGAGCAGCAGTCGTCGGGCACCTGTCCTAGCTGCCAGGCCCAGTGCCAGGCTCTGCATCCTGGGGGGGCACCCTGTGACGAAGTGGGACTGTTCTTAATGGTTCCTCTGAATAGTGTGGGGGTGCCTCAGTTTCCCCTAGGCAGTTCTTAAGTATCTAGGGGGTGGAGTAAGGGTGTATGATCATTGCAGAGCCCTAGAGGGTAGGTGTGGGCAGGGGTCTGGACACAGAGAATGGCCGACACCCTGTTTCCTGGCAACTGATGGCCTGGGCCCTTCCGCCCTGCAAGGTGAGAGCTAAAGGGTCGGAGAACAAAGGAATCAGGTGACCTCCTGGCCCGGGAAAGGGACAAAGCCCAGAGGAGGAGGGGCTGGAGGGAGTTTCAGTTTGGGCTGGCTGGGGACATGGAGTGAAGGGCAGACGTGGTTGTCTGGCTCACTGCCCCCCAAAATGGACCCAGCTGAGGGGTCCTGTTCTCTGCACCTGCAAGCTCTGTGTTAGGCCATGTTTCTGTCGTCTAATAAACCTTCTGTTTTACTGGCTGGCTGAGAGTCAAGTCTGACTGCGAAGTTGGGGTGCAGGACCCTCTGGCTTCCCCAGGACCCCACCTGGGCGGACTCACTGGGGGAAGCGCACGGCGGGGCAGAGGAGGCTGAATGCTCCGAGGTCAGACCCAGGAAGGTGGGAGCCGGGTGAGCTGTGTGTCCTGCAGACAGGCTGCTCCCGGAGAGGAGACTTCCCCAGAGTCCTGCCTGGCTTCATGGGGAGCAGTTCCAGAGCATCGCCCGGGGACTCTGTGACACCCCCCCCCCCATGAAGCGATCCCACAAGGGGAGGTGGGAGCCCAAGATGGGAAACACGCCATGAGCCAGCCAGTTCCTCTGCCCTGGGGCTGACTGGGAACCGGTGCCTCCTCCAGGGGAAGTCTCTGTACCCCATTCTCCACGAGCCCCTGGCATCCAGGCTTTGGGAAGCCCCCGCTGGCAGCACGCCGGCTTGGCCGGCTCCAGCGCACCTGTTGTCAGAGCCCGGCGTGCCCAGAACTGAGCTGCGCCAACTCCTAGGCCAGGCTGTTTTGGACGTGCCCCTTCGCACATTTGGCTGGCAGAGGAAACGTGGCAGCAGAAGGGGCCATGCCCCGGGGGCACACTGAAGCTCGAGGAGATGGGCACTGGCCATAGGAGCCCAGGGATGCCCGGGCGCCAACCCCTCCCTGGCTCTAGGATCCCACCTGGCAGGAGCAGGCCAGCGGGGTCGTGCCTCCCCGTGCTCCTGACAGGCCAGAGCAGGGCTGGGCCCTTGGCCAGGCCCCACCAGTGCCCCAGGGACGGGGATCGGACTGACTCCGCTCTGCTAGAATCCCCTGCACAGTCACGTCCGTGCCGCTCCGCCAGTCCCGGCGCTTATCCCCGTCGGCTCCGGGATGGGGACACGGGCACAGACAGCTGGACCCACCTCCCCGGCACCACCCACCAGACCCCCCCAACCCGCGAGCCTGGAACAGAGCCCAGAGGACTCCTGGTGCTCAGCTGGACCCACCAGGCCTCCCTCTGGCGCTGCCCCTGGAGACAGAACTGGCCCTCGGGGCCTTTTAACCAGCCCCTTGGCAGTGGCACGAGCCTGCAGACCCTGGCCCGTGACTGCAGCAAATCCCCCAGCCCAGTGCCCATCCCTGCCCCCTCAGGGCAAGGGGCCTATGTCCAACCGAACGCCCAGCCCCACCCTGGTGCCCAGCACCCACCCACTGCGACCCAACACTGGCCAGCCCTGCACCCAGCCCCATCCGGGCCCCCACCGCTCAGTGCTCACCCCCCCCGACCAGCCCCGCCCCCCGCTCAGTGCCCACTCCCTGACCAACCCCATCCCGGGCCCCTCCCCGCTCAGTGCCCACTCCCTGGTGCCCAGCCTGCCCCCTTGCTCAGTGCCCACCTCTGACAAGCCCCATCCCGGCCCCCACTGCTCAGTGCCCACCCCCCTGCGCCCAGCCCCGCCGCTCAGTGCCCACCTCCCAGTGCGCCCCCCCGACCAGCCCCCACCGCTCAGTGCCCACCCCCTGCGCCCACCGCCCCCCACCCCCCCGCCGCTCAGTGCCCACCCCCCCGACCAGCCCCCACCGCGTGCCCACCCCCAGTGCCCACCCAGCCCCCACCGCCAGTGCCCGCCCCCCCCGACCAGCCCCCACCGCTCAGTGCCCACCCCCCCGGTGCGCCCCCCCCGACCAGCCCCCACCGCTCAGTGCCCACCCCCCAACCAACCCCATCCCGCTCCATGCCCCCCCGGCGCCCAGCCCCGCCGAGTGCCCGGCCCGGGGGCGCACCTGGAAGCGCTGGCCCAGCCCGTAGACGCGGCCGCGGTGCTCGCAGCCGACGCGCTCGCAGCGGGGGCAGCAGGCGGCCGGGTAGCGGCTCACGTGGATGCAGGCGGGCGGCAGGGCCGGGCAGGGGGCGCGGGCGCAGGCGGGGCCCCGGGCCGTGCACTCGCAGCGGCTGCAGGGCTCGCCCGGCGGCACGAACCGCTCCCCCGCCGAGTAGCGCCGCCCGCCCGCCTCGCAGAGCCCCGCCGGGCCCGCCGCCCCGCCCGGCAGCGCCGCCGCCAGCAGCAGCAGCAGCAGCAGGGGCCGCATGGCTCCGGGGGCCGGTCCGCCGCGCAGCGCCCGCGGTCCGCGCTGCGAGTCCCGCCGGCCGGGCGAGCCCCCCGCCGCGCCCCCCGCACCGCCAAGCCGGCCCCCCAGCTCCGCCCCCCGCGCCCCCGAGCCAGCCCCCAGCTCCGCCCGCTGCCCCGCCCCCTCGCCCCCGAGCCGGCCCCCCAGCTCCGCCCCCCGCGCCCCCGAGCCAGCCCCCAGCTCCGCCCGCTGCCCCGCCCCCTGTGCCCCAGCTCCGCCCCCCGCACCGCCAAGCCGGCCCCCCAGCTCCGCCCCCCGCGCCCCCGAGCCAGCCCCCAGCTCCGCCCGCTGCCCCGCCCCCCGCGCCCCCGAGCCGGCCCCCCCAGCTCCGCCCCCCGCGCCCCCGAGCCAGCCCCCCCAGCTCCGCCCGCTGCCCCGCCCCCTGTGCCCCACCACCAGCGGCCCCCAGCTCCGCCCCCGCGCCCCGAGCCAGCCCCAGCTCGCCCGCTGCCCCGCCCCCTTCCCCAGCGCCCCCAGCCCGCCCCCGAGCCAGCCCCCAGCCCGCCCGCTGCCCCCCCCTGGCCCCCGAGCCAGCCCCCAGCCCCCGAGCCAGCCCCCAGCCGCCCCGCCCCGCCCCTGGCCCCGAGCCAGCCCCCAGCTCCGCCCCCGCTCCGCCACCCCCCCCCCCCCTGTGCCCCCGAGCCAGCCCCCAGCTCCGCCCCCCCGCGCCCCCGAGCCAGCCCCCAGCTCCGCCCGCTGCCCCCCCCCCTGTGCCCCCGAGCCAGCCCCCCAGCTCCGCCCCCCGCGCCCCCGAGCCAGCCCCCAGCTCCGCCCGCTGCCCCGCCCCCCTGTGCCCCCGAGCCGGCCCCCCAGCTCCGCCCCCCGCGGCCCCGAACCTGCCCCCAGCTCCGCCCGCTGCCCCGCCCCCTGTGCCCCCGAGCCACCCCCAGCCCGCCCCCGCGCCCCCGAGCCAGCCCCCAGCCCCCGCCCCCCGTGCCCCAGCCCCCGCGCCCCAAGCCACCCCCAGCCCCCCCGCGCCCCGACCAGCCCCAGCCCCCGCGCCCCGCCCCCGTGCCCCCGCAGCCCCCAGCCGCCCCCGCCCCCGAGCCAGCCCCCAGCTCCGCCGCGCCCCGCCCCTGTGCCCCCGAGCCAGCCCCCCAGCTCCGCCCCCCGCACCGCCAAGCCAGCCCCCCCAGCTCCGCCCGCTGTGCCCCCGCTGCGAGTCCCACCACCCCCCAGCTCCGCCCCCTGTGCCCCCCGCGCCAGCCCCCTAGCTCTCCCCTTCCCCGCGCCAGCCACCAGCTCCTCCCCCTGTGCCCCGCTGCGAGTCCCGCCTCCTCGGGGGGGGGGGGGGGCAGCGGCACCTTTTGGTCGCTTCCCCTTTAAGGGGCCCAGCGGGCGGGAGGAGGCGGGGCGTCACTATGGAGACGGGGAGTTTATCCTGGTAACGGGGGGGCGGGGCGAGGAGCGTCGGGCTGGAAGGGGCGGAGCCACCCCCCGCCTGGGGCTGTGCGGGTTCGGTGGGGCAGGGCCTGGGGGGGGCTGCGATGGGGCAGGGAGAGGGGTAGATGGGGCAGGGGTAGATGGGATCTGGGGATAGAGGGATGTATGGGGGGGGGGTGGGGGGAGCAGGGGTGGGGCTGTGGGGCAGCAGACGGGGTGTGGGGCTGTGGGGGGCAGAGGGGGTGGGGAGTGGGGCAGCGGACGGGGTGTGGGGGCAGACAGATGGGGCAGTGGGTAGCAGATGGGGGGGGGGCAGTGGGGGGGTGGGGGCAGTGGGGAGCAGCAGACAGGGTGTGGGGGGCAGAAGGGGTGGGGCAGCGGGGCAGCGGACGGGGTGTGGGAGCAGACAGGGGTGGGGCAGTGGGGCAGCAGACAGGGTGTGGGGGGAGAGGGGGTGGGGCAGTGGGGCAGCAGACAGGGTGTGGGGGGCAGAAGGGGTGGGGCAGCGGGGCAGCGGACGGGGTGTGGGAGCAGACAGGGGGTGGGGCAGTGGGGCAGCAGACAGGGTGTGGGGGGCAGAGGGGGGTGGGGCAGTGGGGCAGCGGACGGGGTGTGGGAGCAGACAGGGGTGGGGCAGTGGGGCAGCAGACAGGGTGTGGGGGGCAGAGGGGGGTGGGGCAGTGGGGCAGCAGACAGGGTGTGGGGGGCAGAGGGGGGTGGGGCAGCGGGGCAGCGGACGGGGTGTGGGAGCAGACAGGGGTGGGGCAGTGGGGCAGCAGACAGGGTGTGGGGGCAGAGGGGGGTGGGGCAGTGGGGCAGCAGACAGGGTGTGGGGCAGTGAGGCAGCAGACAGGGTGTGGGGGGCAGAGGGGGGGTGGGGCAGTGGGGCAGCAGACAGGGTGTGGGGGGCAGAGGGGGGTGGGGCAGCGGGGCAGCGGACGGGGTGTGGGGGGCAGAGGGGGGTGGGGCAGTGGGGCAGCAGACAGGGTGTGGGGGGCAGAGGGGGGTGGGGCAGTGGGGCAGCAGACAGGGTGTGGGGGGCAGAAGGGGTGGGGCAGCGGGGCAGCGGACGGGGTGTGGGAGCAGACAGGGGTGGGGCAGTGGGGCAGCAGACAGGGTGTGGGGGGCAGAGGGGGTGGGGAGTGGGGAGAGAAGGGTGTGGGGGGAGAGGGGGGGGGGAGGGGGAGCGGACGGGGGTGTGGGAGAGAAGGGGTGGGGAGTGGGGCAGCAGACAGGGTGTGGGGGGAGAGGGGGTGGGGCAGTGGGGCAGCGGACGGGGTGTGGGAGCAGACAGGGGTGGGGCAGTGGGGCAGCAGACAGGGTGTGGGGGGAGGGGGGGGGGGGGGAGAGGGGGTGGGGGGCAGAAGGGGTGGGGCAGCGGGGCAGCGGACGGGGTGTGGGAGCAGACAGGGGTGGGGCAGTGGGGCAGCAGACAGGGGGTGGGGGGCAGAGGGGGGTGGGGCAGTGGGGCAGCAGACGGGGTGGGGGCTGCGGGAGATGTCGGGGGATAGGGGCAGGGTGTGGGGCTCAGCCTAAGATTAGGGGCCTGCCTGCGCTGAGCCAGCCTGACCACCCCTCTCTCTGCCCCTCAGGGGGCGCTGCCCCCATGTTCTCTGCCCCCTTGCAGCCGCTGCCCTCGCTCTGGAGGCTGATGGAGGAGCAGACGGTGCCCAGCGAGAAGCCCGAGGTGAAGAGCATCCTAGGGGTGGACGTGGTGGAGCGCAGCTTGGAGCTGCACGCGGAGGTGAGCCCCCCCTGCCAGCCCTGGGTCCGGCCCCAAGCCCAGGGAGCTGCCCCCGTCCCGCAGGAGCAGTTCATTTCCCTTGGGGTTTAGCCGCCTGCACCCAGCCCAGTGCCCCTTCTGGCTGGGTGCAGGCAGCTCCCCTGCTTGGTGGGGAGGGTTCCCAGTGGGGCAAGGGGGCCTTGTGGGGCGAGGCAGGATCCTGGCACTGAACGAGCCGGGCTGGGATATCAGGGACGCGGCCTGAGGGCAACCCTGCCAGGTGGGGTGGGAGTAGGGCGTGCCCATCGGAGAGCCAGGCCCCTGCTCTCCTGCAGCCTTCCTTCACGAGAGCTGCTCACAGCCTCTGCAGATGTGGGTCCCTCTCCCCGATCCCCTGCAGTGGGGCCCCATCCCATGCCAAGGGCTGGGCTCAGCTGTTCCCTGGCAAGCTGTGGGGGACTGGGCGGGGGGGGGGGGGGGACGGGACAGACAGTCCTTTTCCCAGTGGGAGAAGCATCATTCTTTGGCACTGTGGATGGTGCCACCCTGGCCACGGGACCCTCCTGCGTCAAGAGTCCAGCCCCAAACAGAAACGCCCGCACCCAGGGAACGTGGGGTGTTGGATGGGGGCATTGTAGCCACTGGGCAGCCTTAACTCTGTGTCCCCCCCCAGCCCCCGCCAGGCTGCTGACAGCGCGCCTAGCCCCGGCCACACACCCAAGGCCCCTGCCCTCCGGCGCTTGCCAGCCCAGGCTGGGCCCCTGGGTGAAGGGTTTCCATGTAATCCCCGCCCCCCATGGGGGGGGTGTCTTCTTCACCCTCCTTCAGGCCCGTCTCTGTTGTCAGCTGCTGGGCCTGCCCTGCGATGCCCTCGGGGAAATGGCCAGAGCTGCAGCCCGGCTCCTTTCACATGCTTCCCTGCAGGCCCATAAACAGCCCTTCCAGACCAGCCCGTTGTTCCCTGCCCCTCACCCTGCCCCCCGTGACCAGCACGCATTTCTCCATGGCAGTGGCCTCAGAACTGGGGGCAGGGCAAGGGACAGCAGCTTCAGGCCTTTTTGGGAGCCCAAAAGCTGCTGGCTGCGGGCCTGTGCCCTCTGCCCTGGCTGTGGGGTCATGGTGCCCTGGGCTGGATGGTGCTGCGGGCTCCTGCCTGGGGACTGGATGGCGGGGGTGCCTGCCTGTGTGTGTGGGATGCACGTGGGAGGGGTGTCCTCATCCCTGCTGCAGGAAGGGGCCCGTGGGGGCCTCCCTGCCCCTCTCCCTCCATGCAGAGTCCCACTTGAGCCGTGGGTGGGGCCAGACCCGGTGCGGTGCCATGGGGCTGAGGTGGGGCTCGGGGCTGCGTTCCCAGGTAACGCCTCTCCTGCCCCATGCTGTCTAGGTGGAGACCCTGGTGGAGCTGTGGCGGGAGGAGCGCTCTGCCTGCGCTGGGCTGGATCAGTGCCCCCCGCAGGGGGCCGGGGGCTGGGCTCTCCTGACAGCCCCCACCCACCTCAAGGAGCTGTTGAGACGGGAGCTCCGGATGCTGCTGCTCAGTCTCCAGCAGAAGGCGTCCCAGGAGGGCAGGTACCAGGGCTGGGCGGCGTCCTGGGCACTGAGCCCCCCATGGCCCTGTCATGGACCCCCAGGACCGTGCCCCTCCCCCTGCTTGGGAGCCGTGTCTGGGAGGAGCCTTCAGTGCACCAGACCCCCATGGGGCCCCTCTCTGCCTCCAGGGCCGGCACCACTGCCTCCGAGACAGCTCTGGGCACCCTCCTGCTCCGTCCAGCGCGTCCACCGAGACACCCCCGGGGGAGCCTGGTGCCCGGCGCAGGGACACACGCACCCCCTGCCTGCAGCGAGGCTCCCGCAGCGGGGCCGAGCCAGGGGGGTTTATTGGTCAGCCGGATGCAGCATGGGCCTCCCTGCTCAGCCCGAGCCCATGGCTTGGCCTGTGTCGGTCTGACCCCGAGGAGCCCCCGACTCCTTCCTGCAGCCTCCCCTGCCAGTCCTTTGTTCTGGGCTCAGCTTCCCTGCGGAGAGGTGGGCAATCCAGCTCCCTTGGGCCCCTCCACCAGTCCTTTTCCATGGCCCATCCTGGCTCAAACAGCTGCGGCATCCTTATCTCCGTCTCCCAGCCTGCCTGTCCCCCTCCCCACCCCGGTAACACTGACAATAGAGGGGAAACTGAGGCACACAGCCGCTTCGTGAAAATAGGACAGAAAATTCCCCCTTTGTCAGACTCCTCCGGGGGGGGAGTTGTCTCTGTCGGTACCCACCAATGGAGCCCCGTCTCCTCACTCCAGCCTCCCCAGGGCCCCCAGCCCTTCCTGATCGCTGCCCCGCTGCAGGAGCGCTGTGTGTGGGGAGCTATCCCACCCTGAGACCTGCATGCCCCAGTCGGCATGGGGGGCCCTTTGGGATGGGGGTTACCCTGGCGCTGCCCCCACTGTGCTGGAGGGCTCGGTGCTCTGCATGGTGCTGCTGGAAGGGCCCTGCTGGGGGTGGGGAGCCGAGGACCCACACGCAGCCAGCCCCAGCTGGAATTCCTGGCTGCCTGGCAGTGCCGGGGGGTGCAGGGGCACTGGGCCTGTCTGCCTGGCTGCGCTTGCGGCTGGCTGAGCCCTTCCCCCTGCCCGGGGGCTGGGATTGCAGAACCGCTGACGCAGCAGCCGCCCGGCTTAGCCCCTTCTCTGGGCCAGCTTAGCCTCCAGAAGCACTTCAAAGGGCTCGGGGAGCCGGCATTAGCCAGCTGCAGCACCTGGGGCGGAGCAGTCCCCCGGCAGCGCTGGAGACGCTGCTTGGGCCAGGCGCGAGGGGCCACGTGCGGGGCACCTGCAGCTGGAGGGGGCCGGGGCAGAGTAGGGAGGTGCCCTGGGATGTGCTGGGCACTGAGGACTCCACCAGGCAGCAGGGCGCCAGGTCCTGTCCATTGCCGCTGACTCCCTGTGCCTCTCCCCCGACTCTGCCAGTGCCCCTCGATCCCGATAGCTCCAGGCTGGCACCGTGCCCGTCTGTGTCGGCATGAGCAGCGCTGGGTGCTCTGTGCTGGGCCATGTCTGGCTGGAGCCTGGGCTCCCTGCTTGGGGGGCATCCCTCATTCCAGCCCTTCATGCCCACCTGGGCCTGCTTCTTGGGGTGCCTACAGCCCCCCAGCCCATGAGCTGCCCAGCCTGGCCCAGCCATGGCTACTGAGCCCCTCCAGCTGGTGACCCTCCCCAGCCCAGCCCCCCAGGGCCCAACCCAGGTCAGGGGACTCACACCACGTCTCCTCCTCGCCACAGGGACGCAGCTGGGGCCATCGCCAAGTACAGCCCCCATGTGGTCAGCTTCGCCCTGGGGGGGGGCGCACACGCTGGAGGGGAGTGCGCAGCACAGGACAGGTCCCTGTCTGGGGGCACCAGCACGAGGTGGGTCTGTGCCCGGGCACGGCGAGTGCTGCTCCTGCCCCTCAGCTGGACAGATGGTCTACCTAGCTGGCCCCCATCCCCTGGTGTCTGGGCCCCAGTCACCCTCCGCCCTGGGAGCAGGGCTGGGCTCATCTCCACTGGACAGATGGCCACCCACGAACTGACCCCCCACTGGGCAGCCCTCCCTCCTGTGGGTCAGCAGCAGGGCGCTCCTGGGGCATGGGGGGGGTGGCCGGAGGGCGGGTGGTGCAGTCAGTGTGGGGCCAGCCCTGTGTATGCCAGATCCTGGCTACTGCATTGGAGCGCTCCTGGAGCTGGGCACCGTGAGGGTGCCACCCGCCCGAGTGCTCCGCCCAGTCGTCCCCACTGTCTGGTAACTCTGGAACCTAATGATGACAGGATACTGCCAACTGGCTGTTTCCGAACCCCCAGCTCCTGGTGCTCTGGTTAAGGTGGGAACGTGTACACATCTCGGACCCCAAACTGCCCCTGACACTTCCCCAAGGACTCAAAGTCCTGCTATCCCCTTCCCACCCTCCCGCCCCTCCCTGCCAGCGACTCTGCCACCCAGCTCTGCACCAGGGCTGAACCACTCGCTCACCAGCGGCCTTTCTGGGGGTTCCTGGGGGCTGGCTGTGGGGCCCAGCTGGGGGCACAGGTCTGTGAGCGCGTGGAATGCCCCCGCCCCAGTCGGGGGGGACGAGCCAGAGCTGCCAGCCCTTCCCCCACTGGAGGTGCTGCTCCCTACACCCCTAATGGTTCTGGGAAAGGGGCCCCCCGCCATAGTCCCCTGGCAAACCCTGTCTGTCCTCTGCCCCAGCCCAGACCCCGGCCTCGTCCACCACCTGGAGCCCCTCAAGGACAAGCTGAGCGTCTCCCGCATCCACCAGGCGCAGACCCATCTCCGGTAGGTGAGCCGGGGCTGGCAGAGACCATTCGCCCCACCCCAACCCAGAGCCGCCTTCGGGGAGCCGGGGAGAGGCCCAGCGGCTGGGCCTGGGAGCAGAGGGGGACTGGAGCGAGTGCCTGAGCGGGGCACGGGGAATGGAGGGGTGGGCTGGAGCAAGGGGCCATGCCAGGGCTCAGTGATGCCCCCAGTGCTGCAGCTCTGCCCTTCCAGCCCAGCGCTGCTGTGGGCTCACTCTGGGCTTTGCTCCCAGAAAGCCTCCCAGCCTTGCCCCCATCGCTGCGCCCTGCCCTGCAGCAGGCTCCTGGCAAGAGCCAAGTGCTAACGCCTCCCTTTGGGTGCTCGCCCCAGCTGAGGGTTGGGACTGAGGGGCACTGCAGAGCTGTGGGGGGGAGCCCAGGGCTGGGATAACAGGGGCTGCGGGTCGGGACTGAGGGGCATTGGCAGAGCTGGGGTGAGTCTGGCCCCCCGCTGGGTAATGGGTTGTTTCCCTGGCGGCGTTGGCAAGTCAATATCTCGACCCTCTCCAGGGAGCAGCCCCTTGTGTGGGAGGTGCCGGAGGTGGGACTGTGGCAGGGGAATATCAGCGCCTGAGGGGGGTGTAACGAGGCTGGTTCTGGTGGGACCCAACTGAGAGGTGCCAATTCAGGACACATTGCTTCGAGCAGGGCAGTTACAGCCCAAGGCTGGGGTTTTTCCACCTCTAAGGCAAACCAAACCAGCCAGACAGAGAGGACTTTGGTTTTACCCCACTGGCTAACCACAAGTCACACAAGCAATTCCCGTAGACACTCCAGTTTCCCAGTATCCCCACCAGTGCCCCTCGTTATGGGGACAGATGGTTATGAAAACCCCAGTAAAAGAAAAAAAGGTTCCCTCGATCTCAAAGGACCACGCCCCAGACCCAGGTCAATATACAAATCAGATCTTACCCACAAATCACGCTGTTGCCAATCCTTTCGAATCTAAAGGTTTATTCATTAAAGGAAAAAGAGAGAGACGAGAGCTAGAATTGGGTTCAATGGAATCAGTGACATCCAGGAATGGCCAAGTTCTTGGTTCAGGCTTGCAGCAGTGATGGAATAAACTGCAGGTTCAAATCCTGTCTCTGGAGAACATCCCCAGCTGGGATGGGTCATTCGGTCCTTGGGTCAAAGCTTCCGTGTAGCAAAGTCCTCCAGAGGTCAGAAGCAGGATTGAAGACCAGATGGAGGAGCTTTTTATAGTCTCTTGCCATGTGGTCTCTTTGTTTGTCCCAAGGACAAGCTGCCCATCCCATGGCCTGGAAACACCTCAGAGTTCTGTCCCTAGGCAGGTCCCTGCACACCTGGCTGAGTCCCCAGGTGTGTCTGCCTTCTCTCACTGGGTCAGTTGTGTAGCTGAGGGTCCTTAATGGGCCACCCAGCAGGCTAGGCAGAGCTGACACCCACTTGTCTGGGGTGTCCCCCAGAAGCAGAGCACAAGTTTGAAATACAGACAGTCTAGAGCCAATACTTATAACTTTAACTACAAAAATGATACACACATATAGACACCATAATCCTAACCAGCCAACCATAACCTCGTCTTAGACACCTTATTAGACCCCCTGTATACAAGATTGGTGCCACTACAGGACCTTGGTTGCAACAATGATCTATACGGTCCCAGATTATGTCAATAACGTGACAGGGGGGCCATGCCCCAGCGTCCCCCGGCCTCCTTCCCTGGCAGGGCTGGTGCTGTCTCCCGTGTGCAGAGCCTGGCAGCCGGGACTGGGTCCGTGGCTTGGAGAGACAAAGGGCAGATTGTGGGGAATGAGGAACCAACGGGGCCAGAGGGGAAGCAGGTGGTCCTGTGGTCTTTCTGGGCTGCCCTGCCCCCTCGCTGCCTGGCCCCTGTGTGCTGCCAGCTGGGGGGCAGCCAGGCCTCCTGGAGGGGAGGGGCACTTGGGGGCCAGTGGCCATTCCACCCCTGCAGGGCCCAAGGACAACCTCCTGCCTGGTGACGTGCGCAGGGGGTGTCTCTCTGCTCCCCGGCAGCCTGGGGTGGGGCGGTGCCCCCTGCTGATCCTGCCATCCCAGGGTCCTCGGTGGGATGGGCTGTGCACAGAGAGGAGAGAGGACCCCTCACCACCCCGCTGCACTGCTCCTGGCCTGGGCCCAGGGCTGGGGGGTCCAGCGTGGGCTGGGGTGTCAGGCTCCATTCCTGGCTCTGCCACTGGCTCCCTGGGGTGCATTCCTTCCCTGCTCTGTGCCTGTCCCGAGGGTCAGGGGTCGTGATGGCTCCCAGCCCCAGGACGGAGAAGTCTCTCCCATGTGGGCACCAGGGGTTACCTGTACCCAGCCTCCATGCGAACCCCTTCCGCCCAGCCCCTCCTCCAGACATGGGTTCCCATCCCAGGAGGTTGGTCCTCTGTCCGCTCTTGTGACCCTTCCCAGGCACCCTGCCCAGCCACACAGCTCCAGGGCTGGGGGGTCTCTGGGAGGCGGGTTAACCCTGGCATCTGGTGAGACAAGGTCCCACTGCCATGTGCTGTGAGGGGGCATGTGCCCAAGTGCCAGGGGTTGTGCCCAGGGGCCCCAGGGCATGGCAGGAAATGTTTAAAGCAGACGCTGACCCTTGTCCCGGCCCCCCTCATTCCCATGCATCTGGAGCCCACCTAACCCACCTGTCTCTTTTGCCAGGGCCCTGCTGGAGGAGGAGTGCCGTGCCCTGGAGAGACACATCTGCCACCTCTGGGTAGGACCCCTGGGATGGCGGGATCAGCAGGGGGCACTGGCCCCTGTCACGGAGTCCCCGGGCGACGCTCTGGGACTGCTCCCCATGAAGCCAGGCAGGACTCTGGGGAAGTCTCCTCTCCGGGAGCAGCCTGTCTGCAGGACACACAGCTCACCCGGCTTCCCCCTTCCTGGGTCTGACCTCGGAGCATTCAGCCTCCTCTGCCCCTCCGTGTGCTTCCCACAGCGAGTCCGCCCAGGCGGGGTCCTGGGGGGGCCAGAGGGTCCTGCACCCCAACTCCGCAGTCAGACGTGACTCTCAGCCAGCCAGTAACACAGAAGGTTTATTAGGCGACAGGAACATGTTCTAAAACAGAGCTTGTCGGTGCGGAGAACAGGACCCCTCAGTCGGGTCCATTTTGGGGGGCCGTGAGCCAGACAACCACGTCTGCACTTCACTCCATGTCCCAGCCAGCCCCAAACTGAAACTCCCTCCAGCCCCTCCTCCTCTGGGCTTTGTCCCTTTCCTGGGCCAGGAGGTCACCCGATTCCTTTGTTCTCCGACCCTTTAGCTCTCACCTTGCAGGGGGGAGGGGCCCAGGCCATCCGTTGCCAGGAAAAGGGGGTCGGCCATTCTCTGTGTCCAGACCCCTGCCCACACCTGCCCTCTAGGGCTCTGCAACGATCATACACCCTTATCCCACCCCCTAGATACTTAAGAACTGCATAGGGAAACTGAGGCACCCCCACACTATTCAGAGGAAACATTAAGAACAGTCCCACTTCGTCACACCCACCCTCTAGATACTTAAGAACTGCCTAGGGGAAACTGAGGCACCCCCAAAATATTCAGAGGAAACATTAAGAACAGTCCCGCTTCCTCACAGCCCTGCCCTGGGCTGTCTGGGACCAGAGAGACACACCCTGAGCCACCCTGCGCACCTCACCAGGCGGGAGGCTGCCCCTGGTCACGCCAGGCCATGGCCCCCACCAGGGCAGCCTGCTGGGCCGTGCAGGGATGGACTTGCCCTGCCCCACAACAGCCACCCTCACCCTGGTCCCCAGGGCGTGTGTGCAGGGGAAGGGCTGCTGGCAGGAGTACTGGGAGTTGGGGCTGGGAGCCAGGACTCCTGGGTTTGATCCCTGACTCTGGGAGAGGAGTGGGGTCTAGTGGATTACAGCCGGGGAGGGCTGGGAGCCAGGACTCCTGGGTTCTATCCCCAGCTCTGGGAGGGGAGCGGGGTCTAGTGGGGTAGAGCAGGGGGCTGGGAGCCAGGACTCCTGGGTTCTCTGGCACTGTGCTGGGGAGGGGTTTGTGGCTGAGTGAAATGGTAGCGCCCTCTGCTGGGGGCCGGCGGCTTGGCCACGGCATGGTTGTGCTCTGCGTTTCCCAGTCCAGCGTGTGCTGGTGAAATATTTCACCGGGCCTCTTCTGGGCAGTGCCATGGTGATAGTCCAGGGCCAGCCCCCCGCGGGACTGCTCCGGTCCCCTGGAGGCGATCGGTGCAGGGCTGGCTGTTGCAGACACTCCTGGTGGGGGGGCTTGCCCTGCTCTGAGAGACCCTACAATAACATTCCCCTCCCACACCCTGGGGGCAGTGGGGCAGGCAGTGCTCTGACTCTCCCCCCCTCTCCCCAGCGCTGCCTGGAGGAGGAACACCGAGCCGCTGCGGGGCCAGCGCAGGAGCCAACGATGGCTGGTAAGGGACCTGCCCGACCTCTCCCCGGGGAGCACAAAGCCAGTGTCCCGGCCCAGCCTCCTTGCCCCGGTCGGGGTGCAGCGCCGTGTCCCCATCACGGAGATGCAGCTGGCTCTGGGGAGGGTTGCAGGGTGTTTAACAGCCACACAGGGACGATACCCGTCGTGCAGGGCAGCCAGGAGCTGGCTGAGCCAGTGGCACCGAGGGAGGCGAGCTCACTCAGCACCACCGCAGGCCCCATTCTGCACCCCCCGGGCAGTGCTTGGGGCAGGCCAGCGAGGGGCGCTCTGCCTCTCACCAGCACTTCCCTTCTGTGCAGAGCTGCAGGAGCAGAGACAAGCCATGGAGCGGGACTTGCAGCTGGGCCAGCTGGACCCCAGGCCTGGCCTCTCCCAGGAGGTCCAGTGCCCTGAGCCTGTGGCCCCCCGACAGCCCAGGTAACCCCCTTTGAATAAATTGCCCAGGGGACCCCTGCGTACCAGCAAATACAAGCACCTCAGGCAGGGCTGTGTGTGGGGAGGAGAGGGGCCCCAGGGATGGGATGGGGTGGGCTGTGGGTCAGATCGAGGGGCACTGGCAGGGCTACAGGGACCCCAGCGGGCAGCGGGTTGGAGTAAGGGGCACTGGCAGGGCTGCAAGCTGGGACCCCGGGGGGGGCTGGCTGGGGCCCTGGGGGGCAGCAGGTTGTAGTGAGGGGCACTGGCAGGGCTGCAGGGGCAGGCTGGGACCCCCGGGGGTGGCAGGTCACATAGGCCATGCTGGTTGTAGGGGGCCCCATTGCGGGATTATTGCAGGGCCTCAGGCTATCACTGCAGGCTGGGGCGGTGGGTTCGGGGTCGGTCCTGGCTGAACCCTGCCCCCTGGACGTGAGCCTGTCTCCGGATGTGGGGCGGGGCGGGGTGGGCAGTGCTCTGTCCCGGCGGGTCTCTGCTGACGGCACTGTCTCCCTGGCTCTGCAGGTGTCCCGTGGGCCTGGGGAGCCCGGCACCAGCCAGTGTGTCCCCCCGCCTGGCACCAGCCGTTCTGTCCCCGTCGGGCCGCCGAGAACCAGCCCCGCCAGCCCCAGGCACTGTGCTGGGCCGAGTGCCCCTCGACGGGTGCAGCTGCTCTCTGGGCAGCCTGGCTAGGGGGCTCCACGGAGGGGCTGCGACCCCCGGCTGGGCCTCTGGGCACCAGGACCTGGCTGCACCATCACCCCCAGGAGCTCGGGTTCCCCCTGCAAGCCCAGCCTGCAGCCGCCTGGCCCCCCTGCCAGCAGGGCCCAGCCTGGCCTTCCTCCCATCGCCACCCGCAGAGCAGCGCCCGCCCCTGCGCCCCCTCTCCGGCCGCCACCTGAGGCTGCTGGGATGCCAGGGGCCAAGCTAGCGCAGGGAGCCTCTCTGGGGTATGGGGCAGGGAGCCTGGGGCAGCCTGGCATGGGCAGGAGGTCCTGCCCCATCTCCCCCCCAGCTCCAGCGCTGCTTCCTGCCCCGCTGGGTCCCCGGTCCCCGGCTCGGCCTTGCTCTGCCCTGGAGGCCCCCAACCCGCAGGGGCATTGTCGTCTCCCCCAGCCCGGGATCAGCCCCCTCCGCCTCTTGGGGGGCAGCTCCTTAGCTGAGCCCTGAGCCTGGCCTGCAACGCCCCCTCCTGGCTGCCCCCTGCCATGGTGCGCGGGGAGCCGTGCAGCGTGCACTGGCCTAGGGTTCAGGTGGGGGAGGGGCGCAGGTACCATGTGCCCAGGGGGTGGGGGGCAGTGGGGGAAGGGAAGCTGCCTGGGGCCTGGGCACTTCTCAGTGCTCCTGCCTCTGGGGGGGATGGGCCCTTGGAGCCAGAGGCAGGTGCTGGGGTCTGGCACCGTGCCCTCTCTGCGGGGCCCCCTGCCCTCACCCACCCTGGGCAGGACCCACACAGCTGCCCCATGGGGCTCGGAGCTCTGCCCAGCTGTGGGGGGGAGCTGGGACCTGCTGTGGGCATGCCGGGTGCCTCTGCCCAGCGCCAGCAGGTAGCAAGGCCAGGCGAGGGGGGCAGGGCCTGGGCCCCTCCGCTCCGTGCAGTCTGGCGGCTGGGAACGGGACCCGCCGATCTCCTGGCTGCACCGGGCCACAGCATCTGGGCCAGGCCTGGGCGGGCAGTGCCCCGGGACAGGGTACCAGGGTCGCTCACGCATGCCTCTCCCCCCCCCCCCCCCGGGCCAAAGAAAGGCAGCCAGCAGGCGGACGCAGGAATATAAATTTCATTAAAATCTATCAGACTTTAAAACTCTACACGGGGCATCACTGGCGTGGGCGGCGCAGCCCAGGCCCCAGCACCGTATTGCTAACGATTAGACAGGAAGAGGAGCGTGGGCACCACGGGCACACGGGGCAGGGCACAGGATCCATGCAGGAAGTAGTGCAGCTCCACGTCGGCTGGGGGGGGGGCAAGGCAGGTGGGGGGTGGGGAGAGGTGCCCACAGGGTGCCGCAGCCCCCCACCCAGCGTGGGCACCTTCCCCAGCCGCTGCCTGGGTGGCAGAAGTGGGGCCGGCTCCGCTGCCCGTGGTCCCTGTCCCCGGGGCGTGGGTAAGTCCCACCAAACTCACTTCACTGGTGGCCTGAGCAGCCCCAGGGCACCGCCCGCCCCCGACCCCGCCCATGAGGCTCGGCTTTGTTCGGTGCCCGGGCATGGTGGTGGCGAGGCCGTGCCTGGCCCAGGGGGGCACTGGGCTCCCGGCTGGAGGGGGAGCGCCCAAAGGAGTGTGCCTGCCCCCCTGCTTGGGCCAGGCCCAAAGCTGGGGGTGGGGGAAGGCCCAGCTGCTCCCCGGCCCCTGACACACACGGAGCCATGGCTGGACACCCCCACGCACCATGCGGGCTGGGGGCCGGTCCCCCTCACGCCCGGCTGGAGAGCGGGTACAGGGACCCAGGGCCTGTCTGAGCCAGCCCAGCCCAATGCCATGGGCACCCTCCTGTGGGGGGGCTGTGGGCAGTGATCTGGGGAGCACCCCCCGTTGCAGTGAGGGGCTGTATGCAGCCCCTCCCCCGTTAACACTCATCTGACGCAGAGGAAAGTGCCTATTGGGGGAAGCCCCCCTACGTAGTGCTTCTGGCCCCAGGGGCCTCCTGTGCATCTCCTTAGCAGCAGGCTGGGGCAATGCCCCGTCCCCTGGCTGGCTGCCCCTCACCACCATGGGGGCTGTGGGGCCCAGGGTGAATCCAGCTGGGTCAAGCAAACCCCTTCGCAGTGGGGTCTGGAACCGGCCCCCCCCGGCCCATAAAGTGCTTCCCCTCCCCAGGGCAGAGCCATGAGGGTGCAGGGCCACCCTGCAGCCCCATGCTCAGCCGCACCAGCAGGGAGCAGACAAGGCCATGGGTCCTGCTCGCTCGGTGAAGGGGGAGCCCCCAGGGCAGGGCTGAGCCCATGTAGAGGACCCCCCTCCACCCCGCCATGCCAGCCACAGCCTAACCCTTGCAGCCTGCTGCGGCTGGTGCAGCCACTGGGCTGCACCCAGCCCAACTGCAGCCCCTCATGGGACACAGCACGGGGGGTGGCCGGGGGGGGGGGGGGGGGGACCTGGCCGGGGCTGGCCCTGCACTCCCAGGCAATGGGCATGAGAGCGCTGTGGGGGGGGGGTATGGGCGTGTGTGCATGCATATGCCTGGGCCGTGCATGTGTGTCGGCACGTGTGCTGTGCGTGTCTGGGCCGTGCATGTCTGCACGTGCCGTGCGCTGGGCTTTTGTGTGTGCGGCGAGTGTGCTCTATGCCGTGCGTGTCTGCACGTGGGCCGTGCATGGGCCGGGGGGGCAGGGCATGTGGGCACGCATGCTAGCAAAGGGCCCCCCCCCGCCCCCGCCCTGCATCTCCATTGCCATCCCTCTCCAAGTGCCCCTCCCTTGGTGCCAGCTGGGGGGGCTCCCGGGGAGATGGTGCTACACTACGGCTTGGGCCATGCCTGGGGCACAGGTAGGAGTCCTGCCAGGTGGGTTGAATCCTGCCTGCCCCAGACACAACCCTGGCCTCGGCACTGCCCCCCGCCAGTCTCAGCCAGACACCATCTCCCTCCACGGTAACAGCAGCCCCCACCCCACTTCGGCCCAGCCAGGAGGGGAGGGCCTGGAAGGCAGAGCAAAGGGCTGGGCTAGCCTGACCCAGCTGCTGCCTGCCTGCCACCCCCCCACCTCCACCCCATTGACTCTCTGCTCCCCTCCCCTTCGCTCCCCCTACGCAGCGGGGCGCGGCTCCTCCTGGCCCTGGCAGCCGCTCTCCTAGGCCCCCTCCTCCCAGAGCCCCAGCTGCGTGGCCTGCGTGGTCCGTGGCCCCTGTGCCGCTTTGGGCCACGTAGCAGCTGGGAGCCCCCATCTCACAGGGCACGGCCCCCCAGCCCAGACGCTTGGGCCCCGGCTTCCCCGTCCCCCAGTCACACACTGGGCAGGGGCTGAGCCGCCCCTGGGCTCAGGCTTGCTCCCCCCTGGTCCGCACGCCCGCCACGGCTCCTTGGGCCCTTGCCAAGCTCCCCTGCTGCCGGCGGTGCGCTGGGCCCGGCTGCGGGGCCCTTACTGTAAACACGAGGGGTGACACACACCGTGGGGAGGGGCGGGGGGTGGGGACGCACACACGGGGAGCCCCTGGCGGTGCCCGGGGCAGCCTGGGCTCCCCCAGCTGGGGGCACTGCAGTGCGTCACCGAGCAGGGCGGGTCGGGGGCGCATGGGCTGGTGCCGGGTCACAGTCTGGAGTCCTGGCTGTGGGCTGAGCCGTTGCTGCCCTGCACCGGGAGGGCGACGTCCTCGCTCCGTGGCTTCTCGGGGTTCAGCGGCTGCACATCAAGGCAGACCGCGGGGGTGGGGGCGTAGCGCCCGGCCCGGTGCTCAGCCAGCGCTGGGCCCCAGTCCTGGCTGGGCTTGGTGGCATTTTTCAAACGCTAGAGAGAGGGAGAAGGGGCGTTAGCTTGGCCACGTGGGCACCGGCCCTGTGCCCGTAGGGCCCCAGCCCAGAGCCTCGATCGCCCGCCTCCACCTCAGACCCCTCCGTGACCCCCAAGTGGGGCAACAGCCAGACATTCAGCCAGGCCCGAGGGGCTGGCAGGGACCCCCAGCCACCTCCAGGGCAGGAATCTCCAAGCCAACCCACTAGACCCCACTGCCTCCTAGAGAGAACCCAGGAGTCCTGGCCAGGTCACCGGCGCCCGCCCCACAGTAGCAGCCGGGCCTGGATCTCCCCCGCACCTGGAGCAGCGTGTTGCCGTCAGCACGGCAGAGCTTGTAGACGGCGTAGAGCGGGATGCAGAGCACGGAGGACAGCGCCATGAGGAACCCGATGCTGACGGCCCAGGTGGGGTAGACGTAGGTGTTGTAGGCAATGGGTCGGTACTGGATCACCGTGAACACCAGGATGAACTGGGGGGCACAGAAGGGGGAGTGCGGGCTCAGCCATGAACCCCAGGCCTGCCCGTGGCCCCTGCACCGGGATGAAGGGCAGAGCAGGTCCCTGTGTCCCACAGGCCCCACACCGACCAGCCCCACATCCCTGCCAGCCCATCACCCCTGCCCCATCACTGCCATCCCCACCAGCCTCCCATCACAACCCCCATGCGGCCTGGCAAGGCAAGTGATTTCTCCTGGCAAAGAGTCACTCCGGGTACCCTGCACCCACCCATCACGGTGTCTCGGTGATCAAGCAGCGGCTTTGCACCCAGCCCAGCCCGGGTTTCCAGCCTGGCACGGAGCAAGCGACCCCACGAGAGGCTCTGACGAGGGGCCTTCCGGGCTGAGCTGGCGTGAGTGAGATGCCACGGCTGGGACAGCAGGAGAGCTGAGCGAAGGGCACATGCTGGCACCCGTGACAGAGGCAAAGCCCTGCACGGTGGGGGGTCCACGTTTCCTGATAGCTGCATGGCTGCGGCCTCTTTAGTGCCCTGCAGGTGCTCAGGGAACCTGCCTGGGGACCTGCCGGGGCCGGGGGAGGGACGCCTATCCTGCAGCCCCAGCCCCAGAGCTGGCGGGGTGGGGAGAGACACCCCCCCCACCCAAGTGCTGCTGTGGGGAGAGAGAACTGGGGGGGGGTCCTCTCTCCCCAACATAGCCCCAGAGCACCCTCCTGCACCCCAAACCCCTCATCCCCGGCCCCACTCTAGAGCCCATACCCCCAGCTGGAGCCCTCACCCCCCCACACCCCAACTCTCTGCCCCAGACCTGAGCCCCCTCCCACACTCAGCCCCACCCTGCCCCATGAATTTTGTTCTGTGCACCAATATGGAGGTGGTGATGGGTCACACAGGGTCATGTCACACATCACCTCCATATTGGTGCACTTAATAAAATTAATTCCACACATGGCTGGGAAAATGAGAGGGACACTGGCGGGGGTCCCGTGAAAAGGGGATCCTGGCTCGCTGCACTGGCCAAGCACTGAAACACCCTCTGAGCTGGGCTGGAACATGCTAATGAGGCCACGTCTACGTGATGAGCGTGCCAGGGCCCAGCGCCGCTTGCTCTGGTGACGGCAGGGTCCCCAGTGCTGTGAAGCCCCCCGAGAAGGAGAAGCTGGGCTGGCAGAATTCCCCATCGGCCTCGCTGCATCTAGGGGGATGAAGCCAACCAAACTGTTGCAGAGGGTGCAAACTCCTCCCCTGTGGGGCGAGGTTGCCAGGCCGGGGTCGGTGCCAGGGGCCTGGCAACCTCGCCGGCCAGGATCCGGAGCGGCTCTGTGCTGTGGGTCGTCCCTAGCCCGGCATTTCCAATCCTTTCCCTTGCGTCTGGTCTTTCTCCATTTCTCCTGCTCGGGTACCTGCTCGGCCGTTTGGCCTCGCTGGGACACAGTGCTGCGGCCACGTGGGCAGCGGATGGGTGCACCGGCTGGTGTCCAGAAGACAAGGCACTGGGTGGTTGAGGGGCGAGTGGGGCCCCCAGAGCCCGGAGTGGAGCACCTGTGCTGCCAGCAGAGTGGGGCAGGTGTCCCCAGGCCTGCCCCCCAGACCCTCCCAGCCACTGCCATGCCCCCCCCATAGCAGCCCCATTCCGAGCCATAAACTCCCTCCCAACCTGCCACCCCTCAAGCCGAGCACCCAGGGATCGCCAGGTGGGTCCAGCTCTGACAGTGGCCAGGGCTGGGTGCAGCCAAGGGAGGGTGTGACGTTAGGAGTGTAATACAATATCTCATTGAAAGGTGACACAGGTCCAGAAAGAGTTAATTACCTCCCAGCCTGACCTGACCCAGGGCCCAACTTTAAACACTTGTTAGGAAGAGATGGAAATGAACAGGGCCCTGAAATGCAAGTCTGCATTGTTAGAGAGAAGGGGAGATGTTTGCTCAGGTCTTGTGAGGTCAGCAAACAAGTCTTGTCTATGGCTATGGCTTTGATTCAAAGATCAAAAAGGGAATATTAACATTTAGGAAGACACTTGAGTGCCATAGTATTGTTGTCTCTATGTCTCTTTGAAGGTTGGGGTAACCTGTATCTGAACTGTTCAATGGATAAATTGCCCTGTGCTAATTGCCACAATGTTTGGGAGAAAGAAAGTTAAGTCTCTTGTTTTCTCAGGCCAAAAGGCTGCTGGAAATTTATAAAAACCTTGGGACACGATCCTTCTTCATCTCAGATCTGCTTTGGGTTTCAAGAAGGGAAACCCTGAGCCATAAGGATTGAGATCCCCAGTCACTGACTGGAGTCACCCTGAATATGGACACTGGACTATAACCTGTGGACTATTTCTAAAAGGACTTTTGGCCACTATAAACTCACCATCTCTGCTATGTACCTGGACCTCAAGAATTGAATTCAAGTCTGTCAACCCACTCTCTCTCTTTTCTTTTTAAATAATTTTTCGTTTAGTTAATAAGAATTGACTGTAAGTGTGTAGTTGGGGTAAGATCGAAGTTATCATTTGACCTGGATCTGGGGCTTGGTCCTTTGGAGTCAGGAGAACCTTTTCTAATACAGAGGCTGGTTTGGGCTGGCTGGGTAACTCTAAGGAGTGGAATTTCCACCAGCGTTTGGGGTCTGTCTGCCCCGGTCTGTTTGCCGTGCACCCTGATTGAGTGACCTCAGCTGGCTCCCATGGGCAGCATCGTCACAGAGGGGCAGAGCCCAGCAGAGCAAGGTGGGGATGAGCTACCCCTGGGCAGGTCTCACCCCGAGGCAGGAGTTTTTGGACTGTTCGCTGTCACAGGGACGCCTACCTCTGCTGTGAGATGAGCTGGGATTTGCACCTGCCCCCGTAAGAGCAGGCTTGTGTGCTGGCACACCCCTGCTCTGCCCCCCACCCCTCCACGGGCTGACATATCCCTGTCCCTGTCCAGGCTGGCACACCCCTACCCTGCCCTCACACCCCCATTGGCTGGCACACCCCTCTCCCCAGGCTGGCATCCCCCATGGGCTGGCAACCCCCTGCCTTTCCCTCACCCCTCTATGGGCTGGCACAGATCTCCACACACCCCTCCCCACGGTCTGTCACATCCCTTGCCCAGCCCCCCCACCCCCCCATGGGCTGGCCCCCCCCACCCCAACCCTGCCACAGGAGGGGCGCAGCACTTACGAAGATGATGGCGGGCGAGAAGAACCTCCAGCAGATTTGGAAGAAGAGAGGAGGCGGGAAGCCCAGCATCATCTCGATGTCCTTGAAGTAGTTCCGGTGTCCTGGTGGGAGCAGACAGGGACACTCACTAGGAGAACAGCACCTGGGGGTTTGGGGGCAGGCGATGCCGCCTGAACGCACACGCACTCCCTGGGAAACCTGGATCTGGGTTGGAACCACCACGCACAGTGCTCAATTTGTGCCAGGGCCTGGCAGGTCAGAGCCCCGGCACCCCTGGGCCTGGCAGGTCAGAGCCCCGGCAACCCTGGGCCTGGCAGGTCAGAGCCCCGGCACCCCTGGGCCTGGCAGGTCACAGCCCCGGCACCCCTGGGCCTGGCAGGTCACAGCCCCGGCACCCCTGGGCCTGGCAGGTCACAGCCCCGGCACCCCTGGGCTTGCTGCAGCAGTTATGAATATAAAACAATTGCTTGAGCCCTGGCACCTCTTCCATAATAAATGAAATACTGCCGGCACCCCCTGCCCATCGCCAGCACCCCCAGTTCGGGAGCTCAGCCCTGCACCCCACAGAGCAACACAGAGAGGCAGGGGCCAGTGGGAACAGAACCCAGGAGACCTGGCTCCCTCCCCCCCGCCATTAGACTCCATTCCCCGCCCAGGGCTGGGGATGGAACCCAGGAGTCCTGCTCCTGTCTGGCACTGCCCTGAGAGCTGCTCTTTGGGCATGCGGCCCAGCCAATCAGAACGTGGCCTATTCCTGATGACTCTGGTGTCTGTGACAGCTGGGCTCCCATTGGCTGCTGACAGGCCAGGTGCCCCACCTGTGACCGGAGGCTACGGGCCACCGTTGCCATGGCGCCAGCAGGTGGGGACCTACCGTAGATGTACATGATGGAGACGCACATGATGCAGGAGATGATGACCAGGGAGAAGCTGGCGGCGTAATTGTCCATCAGCAGGAGCCAGTATATCCCAGCCTGGAGAGAGCGGGGGTCAGAGTCAGATAGTCTGGGGACCGCCTTCCTCACCTGATGGGGACCAGCTGGAGCTAGACGTTGCAAAGCGGAGCCAGCCTGCACACCCTGAACCTGGCAGGAGCCCGGCTTGCATCACCAACACCCCAAGTTCTGCTCGCTGCTTTCCATCAGCCAGGCTCGTCTGGCCCACTGCTTCAGTTCAGGCCTCAGGCCAGGCCCATGTCTCCGGCTCTCTCTCTCCCACACTGCCCAGCAGGGTCCATAACGCTCCCACGCGGGGCCCACGGGTGGGGAGCAGACAGACCAAGGGGGCAGGAAGGAAGGGGGCTGGGGGAAGAGCCCCTGGGGCACTGGAGGGACAGTGGGGGGAGGGGGCGGGTCAAAGGGGGCTCAGCAGGGCGAGCCCCCACAGGGCATTGGCGGGTGCCCTGGTGCCCATGCAGGGAGCCCCGCGCCCGTACCTGGGTGGTGAGTGGGACGCCCAGCAGGAAGCCCACCACGGCCATGCCCAGCGTCACAAACATCTTCCTGCGGATGATCCAGTCGTTCCCCACCTCGTCCACAATGGCCGTCACCAGCGTCTCCAGCAGGCAGAACTGGGCAGGGAGCCAGGGTCAGCCAGTGCCTGGCCTGGGCATGGTGCCCCCGGCTCCTCAGGCTGCCCCCAGCCCCCCCCCTGGCTGCTCCCCAGCCCCTCATGCTGCCCCCCAGTCCCCCCAGCTGCCCCCAACTCCCCTGACTCCTCACGCTGCCCCCACCCCTCCCGGCTGTCCCCCAACTCCCCCAGCTCCTCACTCTGCCCCCCAGCCCCCTCCGGCTGCCCCCCAACTCCCCCGGCTCCTCACGCTGCCCCCCAGCCCCCTCCGGCTGCCCCCCAACTCCCCCGGCTCCTCACGCTGCCCCCCAGTCCCCCCAGCTGCCCCCAACTCCCCTGACTCCTCACGCTGCCCCCACCCCTCCCGGTGCCCCCAACCCCCCCCCCCCCCCCCAGCCCCCCGGCTGCCCCCCAACTCCCCCGGCTCCTCACGCTGCCCCCCAGCCCCCTCCGGCTGCCCCCCAACTCCCCCGGCTCCTCACGCTGCCCCCCAGCCCCCTCCGGCTGCCCCCCAACTCCCCCGGCTCCTCACGCTGCCCCCCAGCCCCCTCCGGCTGCCCCCAACTCCCCCGGCTCCTCACACTGCCCCCAGCCCCCCGGCTGCCCCCCAACTCCCCCAGCTCCTCACACTGCCCCCAGCCCCCCGGCTGCCCCCCAACTCCCCCGGCTCCTCAGGCTGCCCCCCAGCCCCTCCAGCTTTCCAGGCTGCCCCCAGCACCCTCAGCTGCCACCCCCAGCCCCCCTTGCCCCACTGCCCCCAACCCCCTGTGCCCTTCTCTTCCCCCTGGGGCCCCTCCTCTCACCCCCGCTGCCCTTTCCATCCCCCTGGGACCCCTCCCTGCACCCCCCTCTGCCCTCCCCACCCGCTTGTGCCCCTTCCCCGCACCCCCCTCTGCCCTTTCCATCCCCCTGGGGCCTCATCCTGCACCCCTCTCTGCCCTTTCCACCCCCTTAGGGCCTCTCCCCACACCCCCTCTGCCCTTCCCACCCCCCCCTGGGCCCCCTCCCCCCGCCCTCCCCACCCCCTGTGGCCTCTTCCCTCCCCCCTCTGCCCTCCCCACCCCTCTGGCGCCCCTCCCCTCCCCTCCCCCCTCTGCCCCAGGCCCTGGTACCTGCGTGCCCAGCCCCAGCAGGATGAGCATGAAGAAGAAGAGGATGGACCAGAGGGGCGAGATGGGCAGCAGCGTCAGGGCCTCGGGGTAGGCCACGAAGGCCAGGCCAGGCCCATGGTCGGCCACCTGGGAGACGTCCACGCCCAGGTGCTGGGCCATGAAGCCCAGGATGGAGAAGATGACGAAGCCGGCGTAGACGCTGGTGGCGCAGTTGGTGATGCTGATGATGATGCTGTCCCTGCAGGGCAGGCGGGTCAGAGAGCCGGGGGGCTCGGTGCACCGGGGGGTGGGGACCTGACCTGGCCGGCTGGGGATGGCTGGGTGCAGTCAGGACGGGGGCTCAGCGCAGACAGAGCAGGGGGAGTGAGAAGGGGTAGGGGGGCTCGGGCTACCGGGGTTGGGGAGAGAATTCACCTGGCAGAGGGTGGGGTCGGGGAGGGGGTGTGTGGCCTGGGGGGAACATAGCCAGGCAGAGGGAAGTGAGGGGTGCAGTGAGACCGCGGAGGTGGGAGTTGGGGGCATGGCCCAGCAGCGGGGTGAGAGTTAGGGGGGCATGGCCTGGCAGGGTGGGAGTCAGGGGGGCATGGCCCAGGCAGGGGGTGGGAGTCAAGGGGTGTGACCCAGCAGGGAGGTGGGAGTCAGGGGGCATGGCCCAGCAGGAGTGGGAGTGGGGGGGTGTGGCCCAGCAGGGGGTGGGAGTCGGGGGGTGTGGCCCAGCAGGGAGGTGGGAGTCGGGTGATGTGGCTCAGCAGGGGGTGGGAGTCGGGGGTGTGGCCCAGCAGGGGGTGGGAGTCGGGGGGTGTGGCCCAGCAGGGTTGTGGGAGTCGGGGGGTGTGGCCCAGCAGGCATGGGAGTCTGGGGGTGTGGCCCAGCAGGAGTTGGAGTGGGGGGGTGTGGCTCAGCAGGGGGTGGGAGTCAGGGGGTGTGGCCCAGCAGGGTTGTGGGAGTCGGGGGGTGTGGCCCAGCAGGCATGGGAGTCTGGGGGTGTGGCCCAGCAGGAGTGGGAGTGGGGGTGTGTGGCCCAGCAGGGGGGTGGGAGTTGGGGCCTGGCCCAGCAGGGTTGTGGGAGTCGGGGGGTGTGTCCCAGCAGGGAGCTGGGAGTCGGGCGATGTGGCTCAGCAGGGGGGTGGGAGTCGGGGGGGTGTCCCAGCAGGGGGGTGGGAGTCGCGTGATGTGGCTCAGCAGGGGGGTGGGAGTCGGGCGGTGTGGCCCAGCAGGGGGGGTGGGAGTTGGGGGGCATGGCCCATCAGGAGTGGGAGTCGGGAGGTGTGACCCAGCAGGGGCGTGGGAGTCGGGGGCGTGGCCCAGCAGGGGGGGTGGGAGTTGGGGCCTGGCCCAGCAGGGGGGTGGGAGTCAGGGGGGGTGGCCCAGCAGGGTTGTGGGAGTCGGGGGGTGTGTCCCAGCAGGGGGGTGGGAGTCGGGGTGTGTGTTCCAGCAGGGAGGTGGGAGTCGCGTGATGTGGCCCAGCAGGCGGGTGGGAGTCGGGGTGTGTGTTCCAGCAGGGAGGTGGGAGTCGCGTGATGTGGCCCAGCAGGGGGGTGGGAGTCGGGGGGTGTGTCCCAGCAGGGGGGTGGGAGTCGGGGGGTGTGGCCCAGCAGGGGGCTGGGAGTCAGGGGGTGTGGCTCAGCAGGGGGCTGGGAGTCGGGCAGTGTGGCCCAGCAGGGGGGTGGGAGTTGGGGCCTGGCCCAGCAGGGGGGTGGGAGTCAGGGGGCCTGGCCCAGCAGGCATAGGAGTTGGGCGGTGTGGCTCAGCAGGGGGGTGGGAGTCGGGCGGCGTGGCCCAGCAGGGGGTGGGAGTCAGGGGGTGTGTCCCAGCAGGGAGGTGGGAGTCACGTGATGTGGCCCAGCAGGGGGGGTGGGAGTCGGGCGGCGTGGCCCAGCAGGGGGGTGGGAGTCGGGCGGTGTGGCCCAGCACGGGGGGTGGGAGTCGGGCGGCGTGGCCCAGCAGGGGGGTGGGAGTCGGGCGGCGTGGCCCAGCAGGGGGGGTGGGAGTCAGGGGGCCTGGCCCAGCAGGGGGGTGGGAGTCGGGTGATATGGCTCAGCAGGGGGGTGGGAGTCGGGCGGCGTGGCCCAGCACGGGGGGTGGGAGTCGGGCGGCGTGGCCCAGCAGGGAGGTGGGAGTTGCGTGATGTGGCCCAGCAGGGGGGTGGGAGTCGGGTGATGTGGCTCAGCAGGGGGGTGGGAGTCGGGCGGCGTGGCCCAGCAGGGGGTGGGAGTCGGGGGCGTGGCCTGGGCAGGCGTGGCTCACCTGTAGCAGTTGTTGTGGAACTTGTTGTAGGATGCCATGGTGATGAGCCCCCCCCAGGCGCAGCCCAGAGAGTAGAAGATCTGGGAGGCAGCGTCTCCCCAGACCTGGCAGACACAGAGATGTTACCACTGGCAGAGAGGGCACCGGGCTCTCCCCTACACAATGCCATGGGGCAGGAGCCCAGCCCCGGGTCACCCTCACATCACACAGCCAGTGTTGGTAGCTGGAGATGGCCAAGGGCTGAATAGTGGGGGGCTGCGGGTCGGGACCGAGGGGCGCTGGCAGCGCTGTGGGCCAGGGGCTGGGCTAGCAGGGGGCCTGGGGTCAGGCCCATGTGGGACCCAATGCTGCCTCCTCACGGCTCCTGTGTGGCCAAGAGTCTTTCCCTTCCCCTCCCGTCTGTCTTTGGGGCAGGGCGGGGGACCTGGTGACCACACTGGGGGCCAGGGGCCCGGGTGAGGCGTTTCTGTGGTGTTCACAGCCGGGCCTGAGCAAGGGAAGGATCCTGTGCTCCAGGGAGGGGCAGGACCCCTGCCCAGTGGGGACTGACACCGCACTGGGTGCTGGAAGGGCAGAGCTCAGACCCACCTTGGCATCCAGGATCTTGTCCCACTGGGGCGTCAGGTAGTACATGATCCCGGTGACGGCGCCCTCCAGGGTGATGCCGCGCACAAAGAGGATGGTGAGCACCACGTAGGGGAAGGTGGCTGTGAAGTACACCACCTGGACGGATGGACAGACAGCCGCGGCTCAGCCACGGCCCCCCACCCCTGTCCAGCCCAGCCAGGGAGCGAGGAGGGGCCCCCCATGGGCACCTGTGTCGGGGGGCTTGCTGCACAGAGCTGCACTGCGGAACGGGGGGGCTGGAGCCTGGAGGCGGTGGGGCCGCGGGGCTAGCCCTGGAGGAAGGGGGCAGGGCCCCTTGGGGGGCCAGTGCACTGAGGGTTCCTCCAAGGGTAGGGCTTAAATTCTCATTGAGTATTTCCTGGAGCCCCCCACCCCCACCCCTCAACATGCCATAAAAATTCTAGGGCCCAGTGGGTGGGGCTCCGGGGTCCGGGCTTCGGGCTTCAGCCGCTGGGCTGGGCGGGGTGTGTGGGAGCTTGGGGCTTCAGCCCTGCAGGGCAGTGGGACTCTGGGCTTTAGCCATGGGGACGGGGGGCAGGGGGGTGCTGGGGCTAGTGGCTTCTGCCCCACGGGTAAGAAAATATTTCCTGGAGCTCTGCCCCACACAGCTCCGGCTGGACTGAAGCCCTCTCCAAGGGACAGTTGAAAAGCTGGGGTGTAGCACAGAGCCTGTGGGTCTGGGACCAGGCACAAGGGAAGAGGAGACAAACATGGGGAGGGGAGGAGCCAGGCACAGGGAGGGGAGGAGCTATGGAGGGGGAGGAGCTAGGCTTAGGGAGGGGAGGAGCTATGGAGAGGGGAGGAGCCATGCCAGGGATGAGAGGAGCTATGGAGGGGGAGGAGCCAGGCTCAAGGAGGGGAGGAGCTATGGAGAGGGGAGGAGCCAGGCTCAGGGAGGGGAGGAGCCAGGCTCAGGGAGGGGAGGAGCTATGGAGGGGGAGGAGCCAGGCTCAGGGAGGGGAGGAGCTATGGAGGGGGAGGAGCCAGGCTCAGGGAGGGGAGGAGCTACAGAGGGGAAGGAGCCAGGCACAGGGAGGGGAGGAGCTATGGAGGGGGCGGAGCCAGGCTCAGGGAGGGGAGGAGCTACGGAGGGGAAGGAGCCAGGCCCAGGGAGGGAAGGAGCTATGGAGGGAGCGGAGCCAGGCTCAGGGAGGGGAGGAGCTATGGAGGGGGCGGAGCCAGGCCCAGGGAGGGGAGGAGCTATGGAGGGGGCGGAGCCAGGCTCAGGGAGGGGAGGAGCTATGGAGGGGAAGGAGCCAGGCCCAGGGAGGGAAGGAGCTATGGAGGGGGCGGAGCCAGGCTCAGGGAGGGGAGGAGATGGAGGGGGGGAGAGGGAGGGGGGGTGGAGGGGGCGGAGCCAGGCCCAGGGAGGGGAGGAGCTATGGAGGGGGAGGAGCCAGGCTCAGGGAAGGGAGGGGGAGGACAGACTCTACTTGCTTTTCCTGATGACTTGACGCCCTTGAAGAGGCAGAGGAAGACGATGACCCAGGAGATGCCCAGGCAGCCCAGCAGGGGGAGCCGCACCTCGCCCAGGTTCCCGATGTCGTCCGAGAGCTTCAGCACGTACCGCCTGCCCCACGGGGACACGGCGCGTGAGACGCCAGCTGCAGCCGTCTGCCAGCCCCCCGCCCCGGAGCCCCACCCCTCTGCCCCGGAGCCCCACCCCTCTGCCCCAGAGCCCCACCCCTCTGCCCCAGAGCCCCACCCATCTGCCCCGGAGCCCCCCGCCTCTGCCCCGGAGCCCCACCCCTCTGCCCCGGAGCCTCACCTGTCTGCCTCAGAGCCCCCCGCCTCTGCCCCGGAGCCCCACCCCTCTGCCCCGGAGCCCCACCCTTCTGCCCCGGAGCCCCACCCCTCTGCCCCGGAGCCCCACCCTTCTGCCCCGGAGCCTCACCTGTCTGCCTCAGAGCCCCACCCCTCTGCCCCGGAGCCCCACCCCTCTGCCCCGGAGCCCCACCCTTCTGCCCCGGAGCCTCACCTGTCTGCCTCAGAGCCCCCCGCCTCTGCCCCGGAGCCCCACCCCTCATCCCCAGAGCCTCGCCCGTCTGCCCCGGAGCCCCACCCCTCATCCCCAGAGCCTCGCCCGTCTGCCCCGGAGCCCCACCCCTTTACCCCAGAGCCCCACGCCTCTTCCCCAGAGCCCTGTCCCAGAGCCCCCCCTCTGCCCAAGAGCCCCACCCCTCTGCCCTGGAGCCCCCCCTCTGCCCCAGAGCCCCACCCTGGACCTCTGCTCTGGCCACAGCAGCCCTGCCCCCCCCCAGAGCCCTCAGCCCTCTGCAATGGGGAGTGCAATCCCCTCTGCCCTAGGCCGTCAGGAGACCCTGACCCCCGTCCCCACTGCCAGCGAGGCCCGGGTTTCCCCTGTGCCTGGCAAGGCCAGGCTGGGCTCTGCTCCAGGGCCCCGTGGGGCTGGCACCTCCAGAACTCCTCGCTGGGGCTGGTGCGCTTGAGCGTGTGGTTGAGGAGCTGGGTGAGGTTGAGGGGGGGCGCGGCGGAACCATTGGCGGCGTCCAGCACCCCGGAGCAGTCGGGCGTGTTCCAGGGGTTGGTGCAGTAGGTCCAGGGCAGCACCCGCGTCATGGAGGAGAAGAAGTAGTAGAAGGCGAGGCAGATCACCACGTTGTAGTAGATGCCAATGTACGTGGAGACCACCATCATCCCATAGCCCACGCCTGGGGGGACAGGCAGCACGTGAGGGGAGGGGCAGACCTGGGGGGACGAGCATGTACGTGCAAGTGCGGAACAGGAGTGAGGGCAGGGTGAGTGTGCAAAACGAGTGGGGTTGTACCAGAGCAAGTATGTGTGTGTGCGAGTAAGTGTGCAACAATTGTGTTCACATATAAGTGTGTATTAATGTGTGCAACAAGTGTGTGTCTGTGTGACGAAGTGGGACTGTTCTTAATGTTTCCTCTGAATAGTGTGGGGGTGCCTCAGTTTCCCTAGGCAGTTCTTAAGTATCTAGGGGGTGGGGTAAGGGTGTATGATCGTTGCAGAGCCCTGGAGGGCAGGTGTGTGCAGGGGTCTGGACACAGAGAATGGCCGACACCCTGTTTCCTGGCAACGGATGGCCTGGGCCCTTCCCCCCCTGCAAGGTGAGAGCTAAAGGGTTGGAGAACAAAGGAATCGGGTGACCTCCTGGCCCGGGAAAGGGACAAAGCCCAGAGGAGGGGGGGCTGGAGGGAGTTTCAGTTTGGGGCTGGCTGGGACATGGAGTGAAGGGCAGACGGGGTTGTCTGGCTCACTGCCCCCCAAAATGGACCCGGCTGAGGGGTCCTGTTCTCTGCACCTACAAGCTCTGTGTTAGGCCATGTTCCTGTCGCCTAATAAACCTTCTGTGTTACTGGCTGGCTGAGAGTCACGTCTGACTGCGGAGTTGGGGGGCAGGACCCTCTGGCTCCCCCAGGACCTCACGTGGACGGACTCGCTGGGGGAAGCGCACGGAGGGGCAGAGGAGGCTGAATGCTCCGAGGTCAGACCCAGGAAGGTGGAAGCCGGGTGAGCTGTGTGTCCTGCAGACAGGCTGCTCCCCGAGAGGAGACTTCCCCAGAGTCCTGCCTGGCTTCGTAGGGAGCAGTCCCAGAGCATCGCCCGGGGACTCCGTGACACATGCAAACACGTGTGTGCATGTGCATGTACAAGAGTGTGTCAGAGCACGTGTGAACATACAGGTGAGTATGCAATGAGGCTGTTCAGAGATGAGTGTGTTTGTGTACAGCAGTGAATGTGTGAGTGTGTGCATGTGAATGGACAAGCTGGGTGTGTTTACAGGGTCAAGGGTGTAAGAAAGTGTACACATGAGCATGCAATAAGAGTGTATGCACAGGTGAGTGTGCAGGTTGAGTGTACAGGAGCAAGCGTGCCAAAGTGTGTGCAGCCTGTGGGCGTGTTGGTGCATGAGAGGGAACACACGTGCACATGTTGATGGTGTAGGAGAGCATGGAGGAGCGTGAATGGGTGTGTGCAAACCTGAGCGTGTGCTCCCAAGAGCGTCTGAGGGCAGGTGCGTGAGCATGAGGAGGGCTGGGCATGAGTGTGCACACAGCCAGGCATAAGTGTGCATGGGGGGCATGAACGTGCGCAGGGCCGGGTGTGTGCATGTGCTGGGGTGGGCGTGAGTGTGTGCAGGGGTGGGTGTGAGCATGTGCAGGGGTGGGCATGAGTGTGCGCAGGGCCAGGGTGAGTGTGCACTGGGGGGCATGAGTGTGCACAGGGTGAGCATGAGCATGCTCAGAGTGGTTGAGAGTGTGCACTGGGCAGGGCATTAGTGTGCACTGGGCAGGGCATGAGCATGTGCAGGACCGGGCATGAGTGTGTGCAGGGTGGTTGTGAGCATGCACAGGGCAGGCATGAGCGTGCTCAGGGTGAGCATGCAGAGGTCAGGTGTGAGCAGGCATAAGTGTGCACAGGTTAGGTGTAAGCATGGGCAGGGTGGGCATGAGCGTGCACAGGGCTGGGCATAAGCATGTTCAAGGTGGGCATGAGTGCACTGGGGTGTACAAAGGGCAGGCATGAGTGTTCACTGGGTGGGCATAAGTATGCACAGTCTGGGCATGAGAGTGCACTGAGTGGGCGTGAGGATGCACAGTCTGGGAGTGAGCATCCACAGTCTGGGTGTGAGTGTGCACAGGGCAGGTGCGCGCGTGCACAGGGCAGGCATGAGCGTGCACAGTCTCGGTGTGAGCATGCTCAGTCTGGGTGCAAGCGTGCACAGAGCAGGCGTGAGCATGCCCAGGATGGGCATGAGCGTGCCCAGGGTGTGGGTGAGTGTGCACAGGGCAGGTGCGAGCATGCAGGGTCTGGGCGTGAGAGTGCGCTGGGTGGGCATGAGTGTGCAAGGGCAGGCGTGAGCAGGCAGAGTCTGGGCGTGAGAGTGCACTGGGTGGGCGTGAGTGTGCAAGGGCAGGTGTGAGCAGGCAGAGTCTGGGCGTGAGTGTGCGCTGGGCAGGTGTAAGCGTGCACAGGGCAGGCGTGAGCGCCCTCTCACCTTTGAACATGGGGCTGATCCTCCAGACGCCCAGGCAGCCCTGGCTGGCGAACTGGCCGAAGGAGAGCTCCATGAAGAAGAGGGGGATGCCGCAGAAAACCAGCATGATGAAGTAGGGGAACATGAAGGCTCCTGGCGGGAGGTGCAGAGAGGTGAGGGTGGGGCAGGGCCAGGGCGGGCTGGGGCCCGTTGCCCTCTGGCCCTGAGAGCCAGCCCTGGGCTGCAATACCAGCCCCCCTGCTGACCCCGCCCGCTCCCTGCAGCCCAGCGCCCCGCGTAGCCCAGCGCCCCCCTGCTGACCCCTGCCCACGCCCCGTAGCCCAGCACTCCCCCGCAGCCCAGCGCCCCCTTGCTGACCCCGCCCGCTCCCTGTAGCCCAGCGTCCCTCGCAGCCAGTGCCCCCTGCTGACCCCACCCTGCTCCCCATAGCCCAGCGCCCCCCTGCTGACCCCTCCCACAGCCCAGCACCCCCCACAGCCCAGCGGCCCCTGCTGACCCCACCCTGCTCCCCGCAGCCCAGCGCCCCCCGTAGCCCAGCGCCCCCTGCTGACCCCACCCTGCTCCCCGTAGCCCAGCGCCCCCCGTAGCCCAGTGCCCCCCTGCTGAACCCACCCTGCTCCCCGCAGCCCAGTGCCCCCCGTAGCCCAGCGCCCCCTGCTGACCCCACCCTGCTCCCCGTAGCCCAGCGCCCCCCGTAGCCCAGCGCCCCCTGCTGACCCCACCCTGCTCCCCGTAGCCCAGCACCCCGCGTAGCCCAGCGCCCCCCTGCTGACCCCACCTGGGGGTTGGACTAGATGACCTTCTGGGGTCCCTTCCAACCCTGATATTCTATGATTCTATGCTCCCCGCAGCCCAGCTCCCCCCTGCTGACCCCGCCCGCTCCCTGCAGCCCAACGCCCCCCTGTTGACCCCGCCTGCTCCCCGCAGCCCAATGCCCCCTGCTGACCCCACCCTGCTCCCTGCAGCCCAGTGCCCCCCTGCTGACCCCGCCCGCTCCCTGGAGCCCGGTGCCCTTCGCAGCCCAGCATCCCCCTGCTGACCCCTCCCGCAGCCCAGCACCCCCCGCAGCCCAGTGTCCCCCTGCTGACCCCACCCTGCTCCCCGCAGCCCAGTGTCCCCTGCTGACCCCACCCTGCTCCCCGCAGCCCAGTGTCCCCTGCTGACCCCACCCTGCTCCCCGCAGCCCAGTGTCCCCCTGCTGACCCCACCCTGCTCCCCGCAGCCCAGTGTCCCCTGCTGACCCCACCCTGCTCCCCGCAGCCCAGCGCCCCCCTGCTGACCCCACCCACTCCTGCTGCCAGGCCGCACAGGGGCACGCACCTCCCCCATTGCGGTAGCAGAGGTAGGGGAAGCGCCACACGTTGCCCAGCCCCACGGCGTAGCCCACACTCGTCAGCACAAACTCAATCTGGTTGGTCCAGTTGCCCCGTTTCACGTTCTCGTCTCTCTTGGTCACCTCCCCAGGGACGGCGCCATTCTGCGGAGAGAGGGGGCAGGTGCCATTAGCAATGGGGTGCCCCCCAGGGCCCTGCCCAGCTGGAAGCAGCCCCCCCGTGGGAGAAAATGGGGGAGGGGAGATACTGCGCTACGCAGCCAGCTTCCCCCCTATCCCGGCCCCCGTGGCTGCTCCAATCCTCCTCCCTGGATGCGGGGGCCCCCAGCCCTGCAGGGATGGGGGAGGACCCCGGCCCCTGTAGGGAGGAGGAGGGGGACCCCGGCTCTGCAGAGAGGGGGCAGGGGAGGGGGACTCCAGCCCCTGCAGAGGGAGGAGGCAGTGGGTCCCCAGCTGTGCCCCCTGCCCCTGCTGCAGGGAAGCTGGAGTCTGCGACTCATACAAAGCAGGGCTGAGTCGAGGAAGCACAAAGCCGCCTCTGTTCCCACGGTCCCCCCGCCCCCCGGCCCAGCCTGCGGGGCCGCGCTGGGCAGCCAGAGCCTCCGGCACGGTGAGCTTAGAGCCGCGGGGGGAGGGGATTGACCCCCCAGGCCCCCCCACATCCACAGGTGGGTGGCAAAGTGACACCCCCAAGGGTGGGGACAGCAGCAGTGCCAGAAAGCTGGCACTGGGGGGCTGGGGGCCAGGACTCCTGGGTTCCCACCCCAGCTCGGGGAGCAGGGGCTCTCAGCTTTGCCAGGCTCCTGTACCCCTTGCAGGGGCTGAGGTGTGTGGCGCCCCCCAAGTTACACCTCACTTAAAAACCCTTGATCCAGACTCAGACACGAAACTACAGACGTGCCCCAGCTGCTGGTACTGGACCATTTCCTCCGTTCTCCTGGTCCCGAATCAGGAGAAATCGATGGGCTGGAATACAACACTGGCCTTGTGTGTCAGTGTGTAGCACACCCAGCACTAGGCACAGCTCCCTGACTGAGCAACCGGAGCTTGTACTGACTCGGCCGGTGCTTCTCATTGGCCCAGGCAAATCCCTTTCTCCCAGCAGAGCTCGGGGCCCCCCGGGGTACATGCATCCCTGGCTGAGGCCCACTGCGCCATGGGAAAGTGTCTCCCCCGTCTTCTCGTGCTGGGAGGACAAGAGCCCCGACCTCCCTTCTCCGGCCCGGTCAGCAGGGCTGTGGGTCTCAACCTGGGGTACCCCTGGGGCATGCAGAGGTCCTGCAGGGGGCATGTCAACTCATCTAGGTCAGTGTTTCTCACGCTGGGGTTGTGACCCCCAGGGGGGTTACAGGGCAGGTTTAGGGGGCTGGCATTAAGGGGCAAGTGCACGGGGCCCCACAGGGGTGGGACGAAGTGGGACTGTTCTTAATGTTTCCTCTGACTAGTGTGGGGGTGCCTCAGTTTCCCCTGTGCAGTTCTTAAGTATCTAGGTGGTGGGGTAAGGGTGTATGATCATTGCAGAGCTCTAGAGGGCAGGTGTGGGCAGGGGTCTGGACACAGACAATGGCCGACACCCTGTTTCCTGGCCACTGATGGCCTGGGCCCTTCCCCCCTGCAAGGTGAGAGCTAAAGGGTTGGAGAACAAAGGAATCAGGTGCCCTCCTGGCCCAGGAAAGGGGAAAGCCCAGAGGAGGAGGGGCTGGAGGGAGTTTCAGTTTGGGGCTGGCTGAGACATGGAGTGAAGGGCAGACGTGGTTGTCTGGCTCGCTGCCCCCCAAAATGGACCCGGCTGAGGGGTCCTGTTCTCTGCACCTGCAAGCTCTGTGTTAGACCATGTTCCTGTCGTCTAATAAACCTTCTGTTTTACTGGCTGGCTGAGAGTCAGGTCTGACTGCGGAGTTGGGGGGCAGGACCCTCTGGCTTCCCCAGGACCCCGCGTGGGCGGACTCGCTGTGGGAAGCGCATGGAGGGGCAGAGGAGGCTGAATGCTCCGAGGTCAGACCCAGGAAGGTGGAAGCCGTGTGAACTTCTTGCCCTGGAGACAGTCTGCTCCCCGAGAGAGAAGAGTCCTGACTGGCTTCGTAGGGAGCAGTTCCAGAGTATCGCCCGGGAACTCCGTGACAACTGGTGGGAGCGGTGGGATCTACTGCACCCCGTGGATGGCGCTTCCTGCAGTAAGTGACGGGGGAGCAGTAAAACGAAGGGGGATTGACGAGGACCAGGCGTGCTGAAGGCTCAGAGATGAGCGGTTTTGGGGGGCGGTTAACCCCTGGGAGTGTGTGACCAGCGAGAAGGACTGTGCAGTAATGGGGTCCCCCGGGGGACTGCGATGAGCAGTCCTAGGGGCGGAGGAGCCTGCGGCTTGGCCCTGGGAGAGAGAAGGACTTTTGCAGTAACAGGGTTCCCCTGGGGATTGCAGCGAGCAGTCCAAGGGGTGGAGGAGTCTGCAGCTCGACCCTGGCAAAGAGGTGGTGACCTCGAGAAGGGCTGGCACACTAGGGGTTCTCCCTGGAAACCGTGGGGAGCTGAGAACACACGGGCCTGTGAGTCCACAACAACTTGGGAGGAGCGGAGTGATGGCCTGTCACCGTCTCCTGAAGAAGGACACTGTAACCCTGTGCAAAAAGAGAGGGTCGCGCGTTGGAAAGTTCACCAAAGCAGAGTTCATCGTGCAGCTGGAGGAGGATGACCGCTCTAAGGAGCAGATTCCTGATCCCAACTGGGGCTATAGCAGGATCTGGGAGCAGCTGGAGTGGGAGCCAGGCATCCCCAAGACTCCTGTCCCCGACCAGACGGGGGTCTTCACGATCGGGTTCCCCATCGGGGGATCGAGACGGACGGGATTGGAGCTGAGTCCGAGAGAGCAAGACGACTGTGAGAGACAGCGAGAGCCCGAGAAAGAGCTGCAGAAGCAGCAGCAGCATGAACTGGCGGTGGTGGAGCGGAGAGGCCTAGGGGACCTCCCCGGGGTGAGTGGGGATAGACCCCGGGGGGCCAGTTCTGCAGGGAACCTCGACACTGAATTGCTGCCCCTGGTTAAGGAGGCGGGGGATGTGGATGCCCACCTCACTGCCTTTGAGCAGGCCGGCGATTTGAACCAGGGGGACCCTGCGGAAAAGCCCTGGTGTCTAGGTCCCTTGCTGGATCCCAAGGCCATAAACTCCATCAGCCAGATGGGTGGGGAGGTGGACAGGCTCCCACTCCTGACCCCAACCTATATGTCTGTGGAGTTTCCTGGGCTCAGGCCCCTTGGACCCCCAGTGGGAGTGGAAGGTGATGGTCAATGGAGAGACATTCCTGGGGTTTCAGAGGAGCAGCCGTGTTAGTCTGTATTTGCAAAAAGAAAAGGAGGACTTGTGGCACCTTAGAGACTAACCAATTTATTTGAGCATAAGCTTTTGTGAGCTACAGCTCACTGCATCGGATGCATTCAGTGGAAAATACAGTGAGGAGATTTATATACACAGAGAACATGAAACAATGGGTGTGACCATACACACTGTAACGAGAGTAATCACGTAAGGTGAGCTATTACCAGCAGGAGAGCAGGGGCGGGGACCTTTTGTCGTGATAATCAAGGGGGGCCATTTCCAGCAGTTGACAAGAAAGTCTGAGGAACAGCGGGGGTGGGGGGGGTGGGGGGGGAAGGGGGATGGGGAATAAACATGGGGGAATAAACATTGCATCCGATGAAGTGAGCTGTAGCTCACGAAAGCTTATGCTCAGATAAATTGGTTAGTCTCTAAGGTGCCACAAGTCCTCCTTTTCTTTTTGCGAATACAGACTAACACGGCTGTTACTCTGAAACATGGGGAAATAGTTTTACTTTGTTGTAATGACCCATCCACTCCCAGTCTTTATCCAAGCCTAATGTAATGGTGTCCAGTTTGCAAATTAATTCCAATTCAGCAGTCTCTCGTTGGAGTCTGTTTTTGAAGTTTTGTTGTTGAAGAATTGCCACTTTTAGGTCTATAATCTAGTGACCAGAGAGATTGAAGTGACTGGTTTTTGAATGTTATAATTCTTGACATCTGATTTGTGTCCATTTAGTCTTTTACGTAGAGACTGTCCAGTTTGACCAATGTACATGGCAGAGGGGCATTGCTGGCACATGATGGCATAGATCACATTGGTAGAATTATAACATTCAAAACCAGTTGGAGAACACGTCAATCTCTCTGGTCACTCGATAGGTGCAGGCTCAGATGGAGGAAGGCAGATGGCTCAGCAGCAGGGCGCTGGGACAGTGTGTGTCCAGGGCTGATTTGGGAGCAAGTCACTTCTAAGGGAGGTGAAACGTGGGGTCTGCAAGACAAGCCAGCTCCCTGCCAGGGGTCCCAGTCTGGGCAGACTGAGAGGCGCTGCCATACAGCCTGTGTTAGCCTGCAGAACTGGCTGCCACGGGGAGTCGTCGAGGTCACAGGCTCGACTCAGAGAGGGATGAGGTGTGTGTCGGCCCAGAGTCATCACAGTTCACGCTCGCGCAGAGCATGGGGGGGCGGACCCCCTCTCCAGGACAGGGTCCTGAAGCCGACCTCTGACCATGAGGGTCAGGGTGGGCCCTGGGTGGGGGATCGTCCCCCATCTGCTGCTGCGGGGTTCCTGCTCCCCCATCCACACACGGTGCTGGGCACTGCCGGCGCTGGGACAAGGGGCTGGATGGGCCAAGGGGAAGCGTGCGTGGTGAGCCCTGCACCCTGATGCTCGGAGCCCACGGGGACAGGGCTGCAGATGTCCTGATGAGACGGGGGGCAGTAGCAAGGTTGTGCGGGCACCCAGCCCACCCTGCTGGGAGAGGGGGGGAATCGGGATGGGCACCTGGGTTCGCGGTCACCCCAGGCACCACCAGAGGGGAGACCAGACCGGCTCCTGGGGGGTGACAAAATCCTTGGGGGAGCTCTAGGCCCCCCTGCAAGCCCCATCCCCTGCTGTGAGAGAAGCCCCTGGCACCCCTGCCCAGAGAATGCACAGCGGAGATTACGGGGTCCGGGGTTGCTCTCAGTTACGCCTGCGCCCAGCTTTGCACCCCCCAGCAGGGGCCCTGGGCCCTGTCCCATGGCACCGAGAGCTCAGTGGCAGGGCGGGAGCTGGGTGCCCGATGCCAGGTGGGCACTTCCAGCACATCCCAGAATGAGCTCATTCTC